CCCTTACTAAACCGACTCAGAATCTGTCTGTGATGGATCCCTTATCTCCTTTTTGTCCTAGCAAAATGCAAAATACTCCTACCTCCTTGAATGCCTCTAAAGTGGCCGTCCCATTACACATGAACGAACTACGGAATCACATAAGCTTTGACCGCGATTTCGAGAAGCGCTTGCTTACACCTGCGCAGTTTCTGCTAAGCTCCACAGACGAATGCACAACCGGAAATTACATCACTTGCGTGCCATTCAGCTGACGCATATTTCTCATTTACATATTTGTTCATCTCGCTGTCATCGATTGCGTACAACCACACCCTGCCATCTCAACCCGAATTTCGCTCATCGTCCGTGAGAGGGTCCAGTGTGGCCCCACTATATCAGCCACAAATTGTAACCACTTCTAGCCGCCTGCTATATCGGGGCACCATTTTACCTGAACGATGGTCTCTTAATCAGGCTTTTTGACTTGTTTGAGTCTCCAATCTAGATAAGACTGCCTTATGCCCCATTTGAATGACAGGAATGAACCATCTCGTGCCCTAAATAGGTCTAGGAGTATCCTTAGCCAAATCCGATCGTAGTTTATCACGATTCATTTGCTGGTCTCAACTGACTCACCCAGGGGGTTCATATGCGTGGCTGTTTACGTACCCACGGACGGCGTCGCTATGGCAGTTACGCAACTGTTATACCAAGCCTGATGATCTGCCGGTAATCCAGCATATTTGTACTATTTTCGATCGAGCGCATCGAATGCACCCTCTGGCTCACGCCGAGCTACTTAATTTTTACCATAACTTCAAAATAGTGACCACCCTATTGTGCTGTCTGCACGTTCTGCCCGTAGGTCCACCAGTTCATCGTGTAATACCGATGAAGATGAAACAATTTAGGACACCCGATAGGATGTATGCCGACTACCGTAAAAATACATCTAAATTAATGACTAACAAATTTCCTGACCTTTTCAGGTTGAACGTCTGCCTCAATGGTAAAAAACCTTTCTCTAAATGGTTTATCAATAGCTGAATAGCTGAAATCATTATTCATTTACTCTTTTAAAACATTTTCAAACCCAGTACGGCAGAAAGCGCGTGAGCAAGCTACCTTTTCCGGAAAATTTTCCACCGTCTTGATGGAGACACAATACTAAGGCAAGTGAAACGTCAATTCCGCGCCCCAAGTAGACCTTGAGCACGCCGAAAACAATTATAGCGAAATCGCACTGTCTATGGGGTGTAAGGACTTCAAATAATTAAACATCAAATGCTGAATGTTTTGTATGTCCACACTACGGCTTCAGAGAAATTTTGAGTATACGCCCCTAGGGAGATGTACAGAAATATACGGATTCACGGATTCACGCGTCGGCGTACAGGACCAGGGCATCTGCCCGAGCTTCCCGATGGGGCTTATTCTTATCGCTTAGCTTGCTGATTCAGCTAGCTATTGGCTCCAATTCAGGGGATATTTTGTTAATCAGCTGACTAACATAAGGTTTTCATTCTCCAAAACCTTCGAGAATGTACCTTCCGTTATTCCAATGATGCGTACGATGTAGTAAAGGGTACGGATTCCTGGTCCCTAGATTAGAGGACTTTAGGCATCGCCCAAAGTGCGTAAACCAATGTCGTCTTAGCACTGGTGTTGGCACATGCCGTCGAATTTCCGTTGGAGCAACAGACCAAATCACAAGGGACTTCAACGACCTCCATAGGTATTGTTTATATACTCCTCCGTTTTCGAATCCAGGGAAGGAGAAAAATTAGAGAAGCCAACTTTTCTCGCGAAGCTCTCACCGCTTCCAAAGACTGAGCCGTGTTGGCAGATGAAACATGAACTCCTTGCCCAAAGTTAAACTTCGGTATGTTCAGAAAGATTTTGCCAAACCTACCACTCTTTGGAACGATCCCAAGTCTTTGAATAAATACCGCCACCTTATATAGAAGCTTCCTTTGTTTAAACTATAGCCTCATATGGATTTTTTGGTATGCGTCTGAGGACTGGTGTAAAAACAGCATATGCTTTTGGGTTGCAAGTGGCCGCACCACTGATTTAGCAGGTGACTCCTGCTAGAGAGTGTGAGCTGATGAATCAGATGAGGATGGAAATTTTGCGCATTTCCTGTTAACACTCAGTAGGTAAATCCGCATCTGTTCAGCATTGTTTTGTTTACTACTTTGCTTATGATCATAAGTTACGAGAGGTTTTGTACGACGATGGTCTGTAAAGCGGCACCAAAATGAAATAGCCTTTGAGTACTCTCAATGCCTTGCTGAAATTCGATACATCGTCGTCTGAGGCATGACACTTATTGGCTGACGAGTTTGGGAATTTCCTAACAACTCAGGGCGTAAGATTCACCATCGGACGTATTGGTCCACTATGGTGAGTTCGCAATTAGCAGCTCAGACTGAGTATGGCAGCTGATAAGAATTTGGGCCCGGATAAGCCCCAGATATAGGAACACGTCAGTAGTGCGATTGCGAAAAGTTTATTACAGCCATATTTTCTTCTCCAGAGGGCGGCAGACTGCATTATCCGGCAACTGCTTACTCGACGGAAACGTCGGTGAAAGACGCGCAACAAACCATATCAAAAAGTCTCGCTTTTAGCAAGCAGTCGAATTGGCTACAACATCGTCATTACCGATGAAACGGCAGTGTGACCGCTAACCCACCGAAGAGCGTCAATGGCCGCCCGAAATGCTGTCGTACCACCCTGAGAGTCTCAAGAATTCCTTGAGGATGTCGTACTATGCCGAAGGTCTCATATGAGAATATCAGCCGCACACCTCGAATCATACTGACAGGAGAGAAAAAACAGTGTTTGCGCTGTAGGTATCTGGTAATTGAGAACACAGTTATTCCCTTGTTTTATTCGCTCTTTGCTTTTTAAATAAATATTTTTCAGCGGGAGCAATTTGTTCATTGTGTATTAACTACCAAATTTTACCTAAACTCGATGAGATCTATCTCCAAAATGCTCAAGATGTAAGACGGCCAGTGGAATCACTTTGTGGTCACCAACATGAGCATACTGCTGTTTCGTTGAATTCGGAGAACAAACATCTGGATGAACTGCTGGTCGAATTGGTGGAAATTGCCAAGCATTCCAACGTTGTTAAGATATAGGGCATAGAAATTGCAATCATGTGAAGAGTGCTTTTAGATCAGCAGCGATGACTCGAGGTGGTGTACAGTTGTCAGCGAAATGATCTGTGTTTAAAGGTACAAAATCCAAGCAGAGTAAGATCCAATTAACCAACCCCACTCCCCGAACTTGAACCAATTGCTCCGGCATACCGCAGCAGGCGAACAAATTTTATGAACGACCCTAACATGATTATTCCATTATGGAGGATGGTTGAATTTTTTCTGTTGCTCGTACCCCCAATCCGAGCTTCCTGCTGCCGTTGCGAAATCGTTGCGAAATCGCTAACTTGAATAAATCATCGACACCAGTAAGTCACGGGAGAATCCAATAAGCCAAACACCAATCGGTTGGTTTATTGTTATCCCCAAGAGAAAAAAATTTGACGTGGCAGTCAAATAAACCACAAAGCTCCAAGTTTTCAGAACCATGTATAACAAAGTTCTTGAGATACTTATGCGACAATCAGACCCAATCTTTAGTTCCTGAACGCGCTAAACCTACAGGAACTTTAAAACATCAATTGCCTAAACCAAGCTTAATTTTTACCGTGTAGCGCATACTGATATACGGTAACTAAAAACGGTGATCAAAAAGCGTCTTTATGTTGAACAGTGGCCTAAAATTTGCCTATTGCAGCAGGTTTTCTGAGGCTTGAGCTTTCCTTCAATTGCCAGGCGTGGGCACCAGTTCATCCAAAGTTTTTTATTGTACACAAAAGAATAACTCCGAAGAACTAGTGCTCCTGGTCATTTCTGGTTATAGTTCCATTTCATCTAAGTAATTTATTTTTGAGAATAAAAATGCGTCGATTCCAGAATCCTTCCGAAATGCCTATTTTTATTGCCTGTTGATTCATCCTCTTCCCGAGGTAAGGGACCCTGATCTTATGCACTACAGCGCATTTAGCCTTTCCTCACTTGCGCGGCACAAAGAAGCTTAATCCCGTAAGCTCTGTGATTTCTTTTTCCAAGCACTTCACAGCAAACCATGTTTAATTTGAACCTTTAGGAAGCTTGTAAGACCCACTCCATGACCTGGCCCGGAGGTTGACTCACGTAGTCCACAGGCATGCTGGGATACTCTAGAGCATGTGCAGCGCTCATTTACCGAATTTTTCTTTGCGTGTCTATCCGCACCACCATGACGTCTTTGCCGTTTGTTACCTTGGCTGGACTTTTTGTGGCTGACGTGCTAAGTAATACCGAGGCCTTCCGCATCGGCATGTCCACCAAAGGGCTTACATAGCTGACTCTCGCCATAGGCTTTCTTCCTGTCTTCTCTATAATGTCCGCAGACGTTTTTTGCTCTCGTTGTTGACCTGCCGAACCGTGTTTAGACAAAACTTTTCCTTTACCTGTATTTCAAATTATGGAACAGGGTCCTCCTTATCCGTACTATATCTCCCATGCAGGCTTTCGAAACATCGTCGATTGCTTGCTTTCAGTTGGGTGTGATGAGCGTCTTTCCGTGCCACATTTCACACTGGACTATTTTTGAGAGGCCCTGAAACCTTTTAAGTTGCGTTCTCACCATGGCTGTCCTATCGCTTGGTCCTAGCAGGTGTACCCATTAGCATGGACTATACAGCGTTAAGCCAAACACGAGACAGCCTCCTTCTTATGTGTTCTAGGCCAGTAATTGCCTTCTTGCCTACCTCTTGTGCAAAGGCATCATTTTCTGGGACTGTATCTTCACCTACCCATTAAAGTATAGATCTGCTGCAGATAGCCTTTAGTACCTGCTAGTGTAATTGTTCTCATGCCGATCTCCGCTGACCCCGTTATGCTTTCTTTACCCTTGGCTCTGACTTCCGGACCGGACTACCTACGCATTGCTCCTTTAAAATGGGTCCCATTCTCGGGTTACAGTGTCAGCTCTGTTTATTGTCTGATGTTATTCTTCGCCGAGTTCTAACAAATGTAAACCAAAACGAAGCCGTATTTTCTCAATCTTGGAAACCATCCTACATCCTCTTATCACGCGAAGAGCATCCTGGTCAAATGGTAAGTCTGAAGATGAACGGTGAATGAAATTCTTAGTTTAATTTGACAGCAGTGACCCAGTACCCGGTAAACATACTCCTCCCTTTCTGTTCAGTCTACAAAGTAGATTCTAGTTAAACTGCAACCCCTAGAAATTATCTCCTTATACATTGTTCTAGCACAGCCAATAATTATTTGTCTAACTTCCCTCCACAGGCCGATCCCCCTTTGCACAAAGGACACCCTCCAATGCGATTCTGTAACCGCTCCCCGTATAACTCACACTGTACTCGCCCCTACCAACTAGCTTGGTGGCTAGCCTTCTTGATCGCCACCACGTCAGCAAAATCTCACCTACCCAAAATAACGCAACTGCTCTCGTCTTGGCCTTACGCCTACTGGTCGACCGGTAGTCAGTGCAATAATAAGATAAAACTACTTCCAACAGAAGTGGCCTCTTGCATCGCCGTCTGAATGCACTGCCCGATATCTAAGCGAAACCAGGTGTGCAGTGATTGGTTGTGTCCTCATATTTCATCGGCAACTTCAGCCTGACTTGGTTGCTAGGCCAGCCAACTTTAATCCATTTTGACGTAGGCTCATTTGGCTTACTGCCACCCCCTCGAGATTTTCTTCTAATCGTAGACAGCATTCTATCTGCTACATCCCGATATCCACCAGATTCTAGTGAATTCATCCAATTCCCCCAATTATTCAAGCTTTGATCTCCACAGGCAGCTGCTTCGAACGCGCTGCATAGCCTTCGACTATCCCGCCTGGTCCAAAGCAAGCACTCATATAATCCTCCAACTGAGCCAAAACTATCTTTTACGCCACACCTTCTTGACCTCAACCGTGTTAGTTTCCTAGATCAACCCGAATCCAGCTGCCACAGAAATGGTAACCCCCTGTCCGAATGCCGTAAAATTGACTTCCCTTATGCGGCTGTCCAGAAAATTTGGAACTTAAGTATGCTGGCGTGGCTCGAACATCCCTCAGTTGGTATGCTGTCTCACGTTGGGAAACAAAATTATTTTTATCAGCCTATCGGTTACGGCACACACAACTGTGTCAAAGTTTTCTGGTGGTGCTCCATAGTGGATGGACCAAACTTTAATGGGTCTTGAAGCCCACTATGCTACAGTGTATGTCGATTAAGCATTTACAGAACCTGTCCCGCCGTTTTGTTCAACATAGGCAGATGTGAAAACCAGGGCGGTCTAGACGTTTGGGCCGGGTTTGGGACAGGTGTGGAATTTTGGTGAATAAAACGTCGAAGCGTGTCTGCCAGCCACGCTCTAGCAGCAGCTTTTTTGGCCAGACATCTGGGCTCAAGTGACTGGTGGGGCATCATGTTTACTCTCCAGCCTAAGTGTCGGCATACTGGTGAACTAAGCCTACATGCAACTATGGAGCCAATTATCAACCCCCTTGTTTTGCATTACTGGCCGTAGTGTAGTAGGGGCCGTTTGGTCGTCTTATTTGTTAATTACCTCAAATCTGCCACTCCACACCCACTCTCAAAAGCTCCACGTTTTCTCTTGATTACACGCGTTAACTTGCGAGTTCTAAATTGCATTGGCTTGCGAGCTGACTTAGTGTGCACATTCCCTATTCCATGCACAGACCTTTGTTGCATTTTTGGAACCCCGAATACACCATCCTGGTAAATAAGTGACCATGAAGCTATTGCACTGTCATATTGACTACGAGGTTCGGGCGATTCCGGAGCCCCGGAAAAGGAGTGCCAACGCTGAGATAGCTCCCAATTTACAGGTGTTGATTTCGTCACTCGACTTCCCACTCGGAAGTTATCGAGTACTACTGATAATAATAATGAGGGGTTTATTTCCAAGGGTTGGACCACAACCTGCTCTTTGTTTATGGCATACGACCTACCGAAAACCCTTGATTCTGGAAGTGGACCAACTCTCACCGGCCAAGAAGGGAGGATGGGGTAATCAAAGCAAATGTGGGGCACCACAGTTCTGCGGGTGCACATCTAGTGTATTAAATTAGGTGCCAAGCTTGAAGATATTGGCGAGCGCTTTTCTTAAAATTTACTGATCAACAGTTGCTTCCCAGTGGTACTTAATTTGGATGTAGTGGGCAGAATTGAACACTTAGGCCTTCTTAAGGCTGAGAAATCGATTGGATTACCGTTTGTCTCTAAATTGGTCAACACCCTGCCTGTTGGTCATTCTGGATTGTGCACCCTTGTTCAGAGCGTGGTCTTCCGCTGAGACCAAGAGCATGGTGGCATTGCGCTGATCGTGTTTTTTTTCCGACTCACTTTATTCCTTCATATTTTCCAAGGTGCCTGGCAACGCCCCAAAGGTGAGTGATAAACTATCCGTTCTGAAGGGACTGTAAGGAGCACGATCATAACAGTCACAGACTAGTCGGGTTAATCTCCGTCCAGTAAAAATATGGAGCAGTAAACCTGAGCAGCATTCTTTCAGATCGTAAAAACCACTTCATCAAATGTGCAACGATTTTCCTTGGCCTGTTCACATGATTTTATCCATGCAATCAAATCCTAGGGGACAAAACCTATGACTAAGACGTTCGACATCAAGTCGGAATAATACTGTATGAAGCTGAATATTCCTGGGTAGTGCCGTCCCTTTTCACCAGCATAAATGCTTCCAGGAATGACCGCCCTTCATGGCCGTTCCTTCATCTCTTTCGCCGGTAATTCTAGCCGCCATACACACCGATGACTATAATGGGTTGACCGATGGCCCGGAAGTTCTGCAGAATGTGACTGGTTTGTATTTTCGAATCCAATGACAAGCAACTCTCTCCAAGTCCCAGCAACACTGTCAACCCGGCTTCTTCCATACCCGCTGGATGTCGATTTAACCTACCTAGAACATCTTGTCACTGCCCCATGCGATGTGTGGGGCAGCACAAAGACCTTCCTGGACATCCTTACGTTAATATATCCTCATTCCTCTTAATGAGTTGTCTGAATAGTTTATCTCCCGAGCCGATTGTTTCAGCTTATTAGTTCGCTAAATTTCCTTGCCACATTTTCGTGGCTTCTTCGCTTCCTCTCATGGCATCCGGGTATTCTTTAGTTACACTGACTTGAGCGCAGTGGGAATTAGCTCGAAAGTGCCGGGAGGAAGGTGACCAAAGCAGGTTCATCACCTCGCCACATTTTGGCCCGGGTGGCTATCTCGTCCAAATAGTTAGCTTGAAAACAGATGATTCGGTCGGAACTTCGTACCCATGTATGTTCACCTCCAGCATTTCTGACTCATTGTAGGGGAGCTGCTCTTCTTCAATGGTTCTTGTCTGAACTAAATATCAAGAACACATTCAGCCTTAAAACTCAGTAGCCTGAGATACCTGTCCAACGAGGTGCCTCACAATGCGTTCTCCCGCTACTGTGGACTGGTCCTCAGTAACAGTAATTCACGCTTCCGCGAGAGGATGTCCACGTTCCCCGCCCATTTTTACCAAAGAGTCAATAATCGTGGTCCTCAAACGCAGCAAATCAGGTGGTGAGGCTCGGTATTTGATTTCAGTCTGCCTAAACGTACCTGAGCATACCCGACAACCGCCGCTCCTAGTCATCAGTTTATCGGCTTCCTGTTTGTGTGTATACCTACTGAACCTGATGAGGTCACAGACCGGGGTTTGAAACTAGGGTAATTGTTTAAGTTTTCAGATGTGTTGAAGAAAATAACAGCGGGGATTCGATGTTACTCAATGCGGCACGGCGGCGTGTTGTTTTGGATATGTATACTTATTGTTCAAGAAAGCCGCACAAAGATGTTGTATATAGAGGGAACTGATAGCAGCAAAAGAATCTTCGTGCAATCGGGAGAGAATTTAGCATTAACTTGTGTTTACACTGGGTTCTTCACCAGTGGAATTGATTTTGAGTGGTTTATTCCATCATTGCCCAACGAACCGGTGACGTCTAACGCAAAAACAAACGTCTATTGGCAAGACGAAATCAACAAAAAGAAGTTTGTTCTTCTCGTACGATCCATATCGACCGACGATTCTGGAAGGTGAGAAATAATTTGTGTCCATTCTAATGCATTTAACGATAAACTGAGAATAAATCTGTGTGCGCGTTTAAGTTAAATTATTTGGTGACCCAGAAGTCTATATGAATCCTCCGCCTCCGGTAGGCGGAATTTCGGTTATTTCGAACTTTCCAACAACTTTATGCTTATTCTTCATCATCTTTCAGCCATAGACTAGCCGAATGGATACCCTTTTTGTACTTCCTCGGCGTTTGGGGGTTATGAGAGACAACATGGCGTCGGCGCGTGTGCGAATCGAGGCGTTCTTCCAATATATATTTGGACCGGATAATTCTCGTGGCTCCCGAATTGCTATTCTGTATAGTTAGTAACCGTATGACCGCCGTCCGCCCACAGTAATTCTCTCGTCTCGTTTGTGTGGCATATGCAGTTTCATAAACTTGTACTCGTAATTACGCGTACATAGTTGCTTCAAGATGTTGTCCATGATCGTTTACTTAAGAGTGGTTCACCTTCGGCTATGTCCAAGGTATATCCTCAAAGTATCCTACACGGCAACAGATTTAGGTGAAGTTTACCCGAAGAAATATTCCTACTAAAATCATGGTATGTATGATATGCACTGCATAAAGCACCCTTCGTACCTATACCCCAGTATATTTAGCTATAACAACATATATATTTGTCGTCAATTTGTCGAAATATAGGCAGCCCGGGTGTGTTTACTGGTGGTTGATCAGTTGGCAGTTGATCTGTTTGCCAACATGTATATTTGTTTACCCTGAGTCGTGAACCGCTAACAGCCTACGAGACACCGACTGAAGTTGTGGATCATATTAATATGCGAACAAGCAAATGACTACGAAAATCTGGGCACATATTAAGGTGAATTTACTCTCCATTTATTAGATTTATGCAGTTTACTCACCAATCATTGAGATTTATTTTCTTCAATTTTGGTACACACAGGCTAATAAAACCTAGGTTTATGCCGCGAATTATAAGTTGCTTTGGCACTATTCCCGCCTTAATGAAGTGCAATAAAACGTTTTTCTTAATCTATTTTGAATATGTCAAAAGTTTTAAGGCATACGTTTGCTTTTTCTTCACGATTAGGTAAGTTTCCTACCTTAAACTTCCTAGTATTTCCTGCACTTCATTTCTCGTGGTGTTTGTATTGCTGAAGTAAGCTTGTATGCTCCAGCGTTAGGGGCTTCAAACATATGTGTAGGTTGGTCAAATTTAAGAACCCTCAGGGTGTATCTAAGCTCAAATGGTGTGCATTATATACGCAGGTTGTATCGTGAAATTTTTTCAAAATACTTTTCATACTTTAAATCAAATTACGTACATGAAAAAATATAAATGAGCAGCAAGCAAAACTGCAAACAATCATTACTGTGAATATGGTGACAGAGTTTTCAACTATGAGCGTGAATCTTCACCTGTGAGCAGCAATCCGCATTTAAACCTAAGGTTTGGAGTAGCTGGAGTGTTTCAACATTTCCATCTCGATGCTCACCGAGATCTTTGTCCCACAGCCCTGCTTTGGCATGACGACCAAACTCGCACTCATTCTATGCGGAACACTTCAAGTGACATGGATGTTCAACACAGAGTACAGGCGCCTGCAAGGGAACACTACTAAAGACTATAGCAAAATATTACTCATGCTACAATCATAGATGCAGCGACAGAAATATTGCTGACAACAACAAGTGCTCTTTTACGCCTGTGAAAGTTTTCTGACGGCAAAGGGTGACGAAATAAGGAATACTGAATGATGTGTGAAACACAAAGAGTACAACAAACACTACAGACTTATATCAATGTATGTTTTGAAAAACCGGCCTATAAACGCGTAAGTGAAACGGCCATATACGCAACCAATAATAGGTATGCTGTGTATTAAAAGTTTAAGGAGTGTACTCAAAAGTGTATCACAATTGGTTTACTTGTCTTAGCCACCTTTTGAAGGCGTTCCGTTCGCTTACTTTCTGCTGTAATATTGAAACAGTTGGCTATGAAATCATGTGATGCAATGGTCTTCTCTTTATGATCAATTAAACAGAAAAGGTGAACTACCTTTGTTTTTCTTGTAATAATGCACCAAAGGTTTCTACTCACTCTAATAGCCGAGGTCCAGCTGTTCCCTTTTTAAGTGCTCGACAGATAGGTACGGTATTCAGGTTTCCACCAAACCTATGTTAAATCTGGAATAAGGAGACGCGGAAGCCTATTTGGAACGTATTTTGCTGAAGAAAATCATAAACGAACGACTCCGCTGCAATTTGTGCGAGTATTTCTGTAACGTCAACTTAATTTTAAACCGAGTGTGCTTCGCCAATTTTTGGATTGTTTGAGTACATACAAGTAGCGCTAAAGAAAACCAAGTGCGCCGATCATCATAAGAAGGCAGCATCGTCCACTGTGTTTCATTACATGGGACTATTTGGCAGCATTACAGTCAAGTGTTTTGGCTCGCAGATTGTGCATTCAAGTGCGGTAAATGGAGCAGCTTTAGCTTTGTTAACCGAGGATGAGAAGGATGAAACAATGAGAGCCATGAGTTCGAGGCGTTGACACACTCAGTTTATTGACTTTGAATGATTAATTTTCGACGGTGTGGCAGGTATAGAGAGCTAGGCAGTGAAAACGATAGCTTTGGTGGAGACTACTATTGGCTGTGTAACACACCCGTATCTGTTGGGATCACCAACTGTCTTGTCCGGTGGTCCCTATCCTGGAAGAAAGCATTTGCCTGCGTGACTGAGTTGACTGGTAACTTCTTTCGTGCTTGGTTGCCATGCCATGGATTAAGCACCACTTGATCGTTTCTATCCAATATAAGGCGAAACAAAGGGTGTTCTACTAGACAAACGCTCCTCCGGCATACAAGTCATATGGCCTGACCAGCGTAAATAGTGTAGTATGACTAGCCGATCCATCGAGGGAGAATGAACTTTACCTAAAACCATCCAGCGCACTTCTGCATTACTGGTCTGTTATTCACACAAAACTCTTGTGATGGTTCGAGGGCACTGATCGTTAAACGCCAAAAGCCTCCAAAGCTTCTCCACACACAGCGGCGGTGCCTTTTATTCATAAAGTAGAGGTCACATCATCAAATATGGTGAACTCAAGAAACAATGTGCCACAGATACGTGCGCATCCACGAAACGAGGCATATGAGGCCCTTATAATCGATAGTAATCTAGGAGGAACATCAACATCGGCACTGTTGCAGCGTTTGACGATAATTGAGATCTGTTGAGGTAGTGAAGAGTTTACTGTTGTTTCAGGAGGAAGTACAACGTGGACAACAAATCACTTTCTCCGGTTGTTCTCTGTTTGTTCACCGACCACAGCGATTTCTCTTAAGTCAATAAATCGTTGGCGATTTTCGGTTTGATGTTTCGTTTTTCTAACTGAATTCAGCCCATGCCGCTGTGAGAGGGAAAGTCTCTCAGATGGCACCACAATTTAGTGTTTGGCTCCAACGGGCATTGCTTCAGTTTTCAAAATACAGTAGTTTTCGGTGTTCGGTTTTAGTTTTATTGTTCTTTGTTTGAGGTAAATATTCTCTTTTCGGAGTTATGCAGGTACACGTGCAGAATGGGACGCCAAGATGGCGATCGATTTCTCGAAATGGCAAGAGCTGAGACCGAGGTCACCGTAGAACGAAGCATAATAACTACTGACTGTCCTAACGAGCAGTGGATTCCATCAAGATCAGGAAATCGGACAACCCCCTTTCAAGAATCAGTTCTTATTCGTTGTGTGATACAAGCGCTACCACCACCATTAATACACTGGAGATTCCGAGGTAAAGAGCTATCAACTGGACCACACTATACAACGTCCGTGAGTGGACTGAGGATATATGGCCCGACGGAGGCAGACGGGGGATTATACACAGTTATTGCTCGTCAACCAAAACACACAGCAGTTTTTGATATACAAGTCCGAGTGTTCAGGTGAGTCACCCAGATGAGTGAATATGGAGAATGAACATTTTTGTGAATGTAGACTTTCATTTAATATTTCATTTTGTGGTTTTGCATCAGTACCAATCATCAGATTGTCGTTCCGTTCGGTGTGACTAATTAGTTTGACAAGAAATTTTATATGCAGTAGTGTGCGTCCAGGAGTTCGGCAGTTGGTAAACGGATGGTTCAAACTATTCTCCTGGAGGCCGCGAGTTCAAAACGTACCAAAGTTTCATGAGCTACAAATGACCGATGATTCCCGATAAGCATAAAAACCGTGCTTCTCGGCTTTTTAGCATTAATTGGCTCTACTTACAGAACAGAATTTCGCTAAAAGTATTTGTTTTGTTAACTTTTTTCACAGTCCGAAATTGGCAGATGAGACAGATTCTGTGGTTTGCGGAAGAAAATTAAAACACATCCAGTCTGCAGTCGTTGGTCGTTCACAGGCACCACGTTTTTTCTCAGGGGGAATGAGAATAACCTCTGGACGTTACTTGTGAACTGGACCACGGATCAAAATTCCAACTACCTGGCTTTTATCAGTACCCTCAAGCTCGCTAACGTTCATTGTCCTGACAAACTAAACTACAGCATTCAGTGAAACAACAATCAATTCAGTGACGCGATCCTGCTGTTAGCCGGTGCTGCAAAATACAAGCAATTAGCCGTCTACTTTCTTCCCTGTCGTCTAGCACTTCAACGTTTCCGTTAAAGTTTACGACCATTAAAGAGCATACCACGATGCCGCGGTTTGCCCCATGATCTGGTATTGAATACTTTTTTTCGAACAACGGCCTCAAATAAAAGGCCCGCGCAGCTCCTTGTGATGCTTGTCATGGCCCGCATACAAATCTGCTGAAAAGTTGATTTCTCAAAATAATTTCTGATTAGCTTGAAGCAAAGATCAAACACGGCCGAGTGAATAGACATTATTTCTCATACGGGGTAGGAAAGTGCGGGAAAAATAGCGCTTTCTATCTTGCGGTTAGCCTTTCGTAATTCATAAAATGGCTTTGATGGTGCTCAATTATTGTGCTGGAAATGTAGAAGTTAGAAAAGCTTTATACTTTCTCCTTTTTTCTAAAAAACGTCCTTTAGATAAGTAGAATTTGGATGATCTTTAAAATTATCCACATGAGGCTTTGACCCTCCTAAAACAAACTTTTCTGGGAATTATCAAATATTTCATTGTAAATGAATGTTATTGTATGAAAAAACTGAGTTCATCCTCCAGCAGAGGATATTCGAAGTAATATAGCATGGTTAATTGCCCTCACAAAACAATGCAGTCTTTTTGCGTGCGACTTGGGAGCTGGTGTGTTAATAACCATTTATGTGGACATGAATATCCCGGACTTACCTGGTCAGTTAAGTAAAAAGATCTTTTTGTAGTTAGAGCCATCGAATGCTATCACTAGTTCTGAGTTATATGGGGAAGACCAATCGAAAGTGAAACGCCTACTGCAGTTACGCAGAGGATAGATTTGGTTCTGATAAACTGCTTGAGAAAGCTACTACCTTTAACAATGCCTTAAACTAGAAACCTAATGGTTAATGTTCTCATGACTGGCTGATATCCGGTGCGGAGTCACCTACCAACATTTTCTGGAGCAGTGAATAACCGCAAGTTAATGTAACAACACAAATTCTTGGTAGAGATTCAGTCTGTGAATTTTATATAAAAATGAAGTAATAGAATAAGCGTACAAACAGGCAGAGGTGATAGCGTCGTCTATTAAGTACCAAATGGGGGCAACATTTCCTGTCACATTTTCCACCTGTTTACTCTCCCAAGGCAAATGAACCGCCATCTTGTGTGGTTACCAAATAGGGCAACTGACTTCAGCTACCCAAAAGATTTTTGCATATGGTATATGTTTAACCTATAATCCTGAGCCCCCAAAAAAGCTTACTCTCCACTTGGGGTCAAGCAAAGTATAACTCTGCGTTTTATCACTGTAGAGTTCAGTGATTTTTCGGGTAAAGTGATGGTTTATCTATCAGAATGAAGGATGTCGGACTTGATCACTCAACACTTTTTGGTCGGAGACAACATCTAATGCTGAAGGTAGCCTATATTGGGGTTTTCTTCTTTTGCAGAACGAGGCATGTTAAAAGTATCCAGGGGAGAAATGACTTGTATCTTCTCTTCAAGCACTAAGCAGCAGTGGGCTCTGTTATTGTTTACTTCAGGATATTAAGAGGAGTGAGCATATCCAAAAACGTGTCTACTATGAGGAAGAAACAATGAAGCATTTTCCGGGGCCCGCATGGCGTGATCCCAGTGATTTGGGATTGTTTTCATAGTTCCGGGCACTTTGTGAGCATTTTTTGACATCACTAATTTCAATATTAACTAACGAATAATAACATCGGATTGTCATTCAGTGCTGATTTTCTTTCTGTGCAGGCACTACTCTATGGCACATATATTCCTTAATTCTGATTTTAAGGAACTCATTTTGCAACGGTTTTTTTATCAGATGACTGTTGTTTTGCCTAACAAGCTTGACAACTGGTTTGTAAGCTTTCTGACACCATCATGAGTGCACAGACTGCTGACGAGACATTCAAGCAACCTTCAGTTTGTGACGCTGCCACTCAGTTCGTATTTTATCCCTTTTAGTGTTTGTCGGTATGTTAGTCGAACAAATCAGGAGTTTTCCTTTCTTACACCAGTAACGTATTTGGTATTTTTCTTAGGTTGTTAGTAATCGCCGGTTCTCATAAACCCCAATAACGATCGGTTCGTAGACAGCGGCTCAGTGATAAGTCACTGAAAGCTAATTAGGGTCGATTGAGACCACACATATAGTCACGTAATGACGAACCGTAGAAGTCTTAGAATCCGCACCTAATCAACTTATTCATTGTTCGGAGCGATGTAAAAGTATCCACAAAGAAGTCATCGCCATCATTTGTAAGACACTAAACAAAACAGGATTAAATTGGTCACAAAATTTACTTCCGTTCATTACTATTCTACCGACGCCAACATTATTGTCGTACTCTAAGTTTTATCCCACAACAAACGAGTTTCACCAAAGTAGGCAAGCCTTAGAAGTGCCATAATCCATCATGTTCTTAGGTCTAGGTAAGACGGTCTTTTCCCTATGACTGTAGTTTTTCCCAGTTCGCTGATACTTTATTCTGTAGTCTGTGTTCAAGTGGATGATAGCCAAATATCCACCGTCGATGCAGCGCGTTTGAGACAACATGTACTCATTATATCTGTATATTGCCTCATACAGCCGACCACGCATAAGCCATGGACCCGTCATTCTCGGACCCTACAAGGACGCGGTGGTCTCAGACCGTGAGGCCTACTTGCAGTGTCTGGCCTCTGGTTATCCAACACCAACTGTGCACTGGTATCGTTCAAACGACCCACAGACAGAGCTACAGCGGCTCGATCCCCACAAGTACTTCGTGAATACAAACAGCCAGGTTGGAACACTACGCATTGCCCGGGCTCAGTACCCTGACGTACGTTATTTAGTGTAGCCATATTCAGTGACCGTTTCAAGAAAGCCAGACGTAACATAAAATCCTTAGTTTGAGAACCCAACAAACCCAAAACATACTAGAATCCATGGCATAATTTCCTCTTAAGAGATCAACTATCTCAGAATGTTTTGACAGATTCCATTTCGAACTGCGTGAATGCGTGTGAGAGAGAGAGAGTAGGTGGCCTAGTAAAATTACGAATAACCGATCATTCTATGAAACTGATTCGTACGCGGAGGTGGGAGAGTTTCTTTCACATATTTGTTCACATCCCACTGGAAAAAATTTCCGTGATCTTTGCCTTTAACAGCTTCTGTCTGCTACCGTTCTGCACGTGCATTTGGTAAGATTGGACAGTTGCATGTTGAGCATTAACTTACACATTCGTGAGATCAAACCTGTAGACCTGTCTATCTTCACTATACAGGTATGCTTTATTCAAGTACATTTATACGCGCCTATGCTCTACATTCGCCCTCACGAAATAGGATTCGGATACGTATATATGTCGAGCTATGGTCTCCGTGCCGGCAATGTACGAACGGTGGTCAAACGATGTGATCGACGAAGCAAGACTGAAGGTTAACGTAACACTTTCACCAAGGTTGATACGACTGACCACGATGGACAGATTTGTTGACAAAGGTAAGCGGTTAACAATTCGGGTCCTATCTTGTCACGTATTCTGGTGGTTCGTAATTGACATTAAATCTATCCCCGGTATGACTTTGCTGGGAGAAATATTTATGTAAATCCCCAGATAAACTACCCGCTACTTTCTAGTATGTAACCCAAGAGGCGATCCACGTCATTTATCAGATAGTTCTTCATTACTGGTTTCAACGACGGAAGTGCAAACACTAGTCTAACCTGGATAATATCCCACTCTATGTAATGGTTTTTTATGGCACTACCAAGCAAAGGAGCTCGGCAATCAGGGACTAACGCCAATTTCGCTACTTACTCTTTAATTGACATTCAGATGAGTCTAATGTTCGGATAGAGTAGTGGTATCTGAGACCTCCTGTCGGTCTGGATATTCGATCTACACGGTCAGGATACTGGGTCATCAGTCGAGGTGTCGGGTAAACCAGTCGTATCGCTCAATTGTGGGCACGCTCACTTGTTTAGACATGTCAATTCAGGTGGGCTCAGCGTCCGCTAGCGGACTAGTATTAACACACTTGTTTACTAAACCAGGTGTCCTGAAATCATACCCCTGCAAGGCCAAGGATACGCACTGTTCAAGAGCTCTAATAAGAGTAAAATTCGGATCTCGCGCTTCCTGCCATTGGTGTAACCTCACCAGAATAACTTCTCCAGGGTGTGAGGAGGATTGTTGAAACGAGTGATGTGAATGTGAGTTCCACAAATCTCAAAACCATGTACACATCAGTGATTCATCAAATTCAAAATTGGGATGACCGGAAGATTGTACAGTGTGACAACTATTGCGGTGGAATTTGACTGCGTGCTTAAGTGGGTATTCTCCGAAGAAAGTATCAAGCGTCGGATGCCATTCGAGTCAACAACTCAGACGCTCTACAGATAAATTAAAAAGCCGGGGCCAGACAGCAACTTCTTGAAACAATCAAAACGCGAATCAGGTGGTGCCCATATTATTTCTGATTGCTTTTTATACAGTTCCACAAAGATAGTCTTCGTGATCTTACCACAAAACAAGGATACTATAATCTGATCCATACAGAAAATAAAGAATCCCTGGGGATACACAAACATTTGTCGAAAGTTCCTTTACTGGCTTGATTTCAAAGTAGTTTTCTCCACTTTTGGAAATCTTGGATATATTGATTATACATGTTCACATACATCGACGGCGAAATACACTGAGCATGTTTTCATAAAGAAAACCTCTCATAAGGTCGCTGAAAAATCTGATAACCAAAGACTGACTTCTCATTACTGGAGCTCATCAATGATGCACAATCCTGGAGTTTCTGTCAGCCTTACGACCTCCTTGAACCCAAATCGCACGAAATTTGCCAAATGAATTCATTTGTACGTCCGTTTAGTTTTCATGGGAGAACTCATCAGAATCCTATTTGAATATCATATAAGAGAGGTCCATCTGAGATTCGAATGGGTCCCTCTTGAAAGCCAGGTTAGTACATAATGAGCATACTTTGTGTGGATGAAAGACGATAAGGTTGGCTGAATAAGCTACACGAAAATGAGTGTCTATGTTGCTCACAGCTGACGCGAGATCTTTTGGAGCAAGTTGTAAACTTACAAACCAACTTTTATTTCCTAAACCCGTAAAACCAACTTGTGTCATTATAATCATAAATTTCCCCTCGGTAGAATTACTCCCAAAAACCTTTTTACGGCGTTTCCGAGTGTTCATGGCTGTTGAAACTTCATAGACCAGCGACTGAATGCATTACGTGTGTTGTATTTCTTTAGCATGTTTACACATCTTACGGTACACCAGTTTTGTGTAATATCTGGGGCTGGTTCCCTTCGGCTGGGAACACCAGAGCAGTTTTTTTAACCTGCGTCACCTGTGGTGTAGGCGTCAAGGGTTGAGTTAACAATGTTGCTGTGCGATCCATATTGTTATATAGGTCAGAAAACTAGCCCCTGTGCGCCGATGACATCAAAAGACTTTCAGTGTTTTACCATCAATGTCTTCGGGGCATTGTCGGAGTCTGGTTGGATGACCGGATCAGCAATACTTAAATACGTCGAATGGAATTCGGAAGAAACAACTCGCCCACGATAGATGAACTGATCATATTGCATAGGTTGCGCTGGCTTGGCCATGTGCTCCGTAGGACAGTCAACCGACTTTCTCGAAGGGTTCTTGTTTCAGAACCACGCGAAGTGTGGAAACGAGTCAGATTAGGTCAAACAATGACTTGGCAGCGAAGTGTGAAAGTCAGTACTAGCAAATTCAGTTGCGCTGATCATTGCCGTCTCCCTGGATGGGGACCCCGAGATGAATCACATCAATGGTTGCAGATATTGTCAAACATGATCCAGTCGCGCCCTTAATGGCGCTAGTGCATCCAAGCTATTGCCTTCAATGCATAGCATCCTCTTTAACCCCCCACTTAAAACTCCACTGACAGACCTGTATTTACGCACGAATTTATCAGCTCACGCCTCCAATGCACAGCTACCTATCCTACCTCCCCAAATCGTCGATGGACAAACTTGTGGCATCTACAACTACTATACGACAAGTACGCGGTTCCTACAGCTGATAATGATGATGCTGATGATTTGAGTGAGCGTATACAGGCAAATGTTTTTCTTCTGAATGCAAATTAGCAGTGAGTGTCACAGAGGTCGGAGAACTCAAATTACGCGTGATAGGATCTATCAGAAGACACTGTACCGACGAATTGCTTTCGTATTGTATAATGCACAGATCTAGAGTCAACTTGGTCGTTCAAATCACCTCGATCAAAACTGACCATCACTGATCGCGCTTGAGTGGTAGTCAGTGCCGGGGCCAAATACTAGGTCAATATTCTATCGGGACTATTAAAGTCGGGGGGAGGAAGCTATAAACTATGTTGTGAAGTCATGCAATAGTTTTACAAAACACTTCATAAGAATGAAATTGGCCTAAACGTGTCTCTGTTGTCGTTCTACTGTTAGCAATTGTTATGTAATCAAGTATAAGTTCAACTGAATTCGCCTGATTTCGACTATCAATTTAGATAAGTTTAAAAAAATTTACACAGGAAATTGAACGTCTCACAGTATATGATGAATTACCAACGTCTGCTACACTAAATAACATATTCCAATCTATGCAATTTAACTCCCGGTAGTTGTTTTCCTGATGGTCTCACTTTGCGATCTCTACCACTTTTCACGGGAATGCGAATCGGCCTACCGTGGCTGAACGGTTAAGTGTCCAAAACAATAGCAGCAAAGTTCCAGGTTCGAACCTTCATTAGGTTTTGTTACATGCGCATGACTCCAAATAAAGATGACCAAGTTGCATCATACTTCTCGGCTTTTCAGCACAGACCAACTTTACTTAAAGGACGAAATATCTATTACACACATTAAAACCCTTTTACGTTTTCTACGTGGACCGGTGATTTTTCCCAAGTGGCTAGGAATCGGAAGACATATGGAATGTAGAATAAATATGATACTGGTGTATCGGCCGATCACTTTATATGTAGTATGATAACCCGGAGCAGCTGCTAATGTTAGGTATTCATCTAAGGTTGTCACGTGGATGCAAATGGCTTAGAATGTCAATGATATCTCAGTTTATGTTGACCCAAAATTACTGAGGTATAGGAAACTATTTAGAAAATAGTTCATTCCACACGGTTTTATCCCTTCCTCATCTATCTACTTATGATTCTGTTTCCCATAAGCAAAGGTTGTAACCCTCACTGTAGCAGTTCTATAGTCCCTGCCACGTGCATTTTCTTTCTTTGTTTCTGCAACCATCTCAGGTGATACAGTCACTGTGCAGTGCAAGGTTCGCGCTACGGATCCATTAAAACTGTATTACGAAAAATTCGGAAGCAACAGGTCCTTCGCTCCTGGGGTACAGCCAAACGACCCGCGCATCAAAGTGTGGATGGAAATTGACCAAGAGGACCAATTGAATCATAACCTCTACTTGACTATTCAAAACACTACGTGAGTAGAATTCCTCTGCACTGCACGAAACGCCATTCGAGACAACCATTCTTTTTTCGAACTTCTCGAAAAATTTGCACCACTGACTTTAATGTGGTACACTTTTGGTTTGAAGTGGGGCAAAAGTAAATCTTACTTGGACCATCTTGTAGAGCAAAGCGATTCGACCAGTAGGTGAGTAAGTGGAATTTTAGACAAACAGCTCATGAGGTGAGTAACTTCGGTTACCCTGTACCCATGTAAGCAGGATGAAGCACGTCAATAGAATGGTCAGAAGCAACCAAATCTCTGAGCAATGAATTTGGGCCCACATGACGCGGACATTCAGCAGCACATTCGGTTGACGAATCTCATTAACGAGTGATTCAGCTGATACTCTGCTGAATTTCACGTGCCTTAGAACAACACAGCGGAACAAGTCCACATACAGTGTTGTGCCGTCTTCGTGCCATCCCCCGCCAATTCGAAGTTCTGGGATCCCCACATTCTGGCGACCTCAACCTCTTAGCCGGCGTTAATGTTCTATGGAAGCACTAAAAACACACTACTTGATCGCACAGGCACAAGATATATTGCTTCATTGGAATCAAACTATTTATCTCGAAATTTTTGAACGCCTCAATATCCAGAGGGATTCGGTATGCTAACTTCTGATCCCTTGAAGATACGGTTGAACCTGTGCCTTAATTGTACCAAAATAGGTTCAAAATTATAAAACGGTCGACCGAAATTACGACTATGAATCTCACCTCATTTAAGCTAAATGCAACCAATGGGACAATGGTTTAGACGCACGTGATAACGGACACGCACTTGGACGTGAGTGCTCGTGGCACTTGGTGTAACCTTTCGCCTCTCACCCGTCTGTTGGCAGCCGAACTGAGTTGATGCGTTCAAGTTGCTGTTGTACGCTATTTCGGAGTTCTGTGTGTACATGACAGAGGAACGATAATAAGTGGGGACGATCTCTTGGTCGCAAGTGGTTCTAGTCTGAACCTGGTTTGTAATCAACCTACTGAAATACCGTTCGTTAGAGGCAACGTGGGTTAGGCACTCTCTTAACAAGTAAAATGCCCAGTTTCTTTTAATTCCCTCAAAACTCGATTCCAGCGCGGAGAAATTAAATGGTAACCTGTGCTAGTGTGTTATGCCCATTCCAGTTGCCAAAGTTTCGATCATCGAGAATTTTGAGAATAGACTTTCACAAAGACATTTAGCCTCAACATCCTAGGTGATAGGGGACAAAACAACTATGCCACAGCTGCGCCGAGCGACTAGCCAAATGTTGTTGGTCACTAGTATTTCGTCATTCGCGTCGACACTCCCTACCGACTCAATTACTTTGGGAAATGGTACTGTGCAAGCATAATTTGATGAGATAGGAAGGTGCCGGCTGCCGGCGTATCACATGGGGTGGTGTCCATTTAGTGGATAAAAGTGACTGTGTGAACCAACTTATACTTCCATAATTGGTTTTCGGGACCAACCAGTATCGGCCTACCAATTTTGAATGTAATTTGTTCTCTCATGAGGGCAAGTGACTGAGTTCTCAGGCACTCCATTCGTTAAAACGCTGAGATGGACTTCGAACCCCATGGTTAATTTTTTTCAAGGTGGTTTTTGAACCTATTAGGTACTCTTTAATTCAATAATAAAACTAATTGTACGGAAACAGAAAATGCACTTTGAGTTATGAGTAGTATCCCGGACTTTCCGTTGCGTAAATGTAGACTCGTACTTGTGCCATACATTAGCCTGTGTGTCAATTTGGTTTAAAGTGGAAACCCTACAACACCACTCGTGCGAACCAAGTGAATTCATGGTGTTTTCACCTGAATATTTTCCAAAAAGATGCCGAAAAGTACTGTTGCGCCACAATCTGAGATATTCTTTAGTAAGCATGGAAAGATTTATCGGAATTGGCTGGAAGTTTACTATCATTCTATACTGTTCCTGACAAGTCGAATACAAGTTGAAATACATACTGAGTCGTCAGTGACTTCTACACGGCTGAAAACAAATATTGTCTAATATCCAGTCACGCAGCCACTAGTACAAACCGAAATATTTGTTAGTAGCATATGAAAGTGGGAGGTGTTCAGCTCTGGAGTACAGTTAAATGCCCCTTCCTAGAACAAAGTCCCGTCTACCTTTTGTTTTCTGAAAAAACACATGTACACAGTGGTGGGATGGAGACGAATAACCAAAGGCACCTTTGTGGTTTTCGTAACGGTCGTCAATATCGTCCATGATCTTATCTATTTGTCCGCTCTGGTCTGCATAGACCCTCAAATAAGAAGCAGTTCCCGTTGGGGGTTGGGTGACCTTAGCACAGAAACAAAGTGCAGTAAAAGATGATGAGGTACTTTTAGACCCAACATTTCTGAAAATGTGGATAGAAACTTCTCTACAGCCCACTACCGGTCACATCCCTCCAGGAGCTCATCATATAGGCCTAGCTCAATAATCTCCCCAGTTGCATATCGTACGTGAACACCAAACTGAATGTAAGTAAAGTAATGCACTCATTTACTAGTCAACATGTTTTTATCAAGATACAAAAATAACTGGCTAAATTTCTCGGTTAAATTGAAGTTCGAAATCGAACCAATGTGCGGACATGTGTATACCCCCATGTACATGTGATTCGGTATTCAGCTGCGAAACAACCCTCGCCCTCTTTTGCACACAAGTTTGGCTTTAATAGCAGACTCAGATAAATACAGATGAATCTCTTGTTGAAGATGACCTTCAACCGAATGTGGTGCCCCAGACGGCCTCCTTTTTCGGTTTGTACGATATTCGAGATATTGCACTATCTAGGCGTAACAAACTGCCCTCTAAAAACTCTTCGACATCCTACGACAAGGTGCAGCACAATCAGTTGAAGAACAGCATCCTAAACGAGAGATTCCACTGGATTAGTTTGAGTCACTTGTCAAAACCAGAGTAATGCGCAAATGAGAGTATTTGGTAAGTTTCGTCCAATCTGAGCTCAGGCAGAACGTAAAGTTAGTGAAAATCGAAAAGTGCACCTACCCGATGAGCCACACGAAAGGAGGAAATAGGTCGAGAGTTGGTGAAGGGTGTTCATCAATCTTGTGTTACGTCAACTGACAACCTCGGTTTAAGTTCGGGGACCAGACCTGTCTGGTGGGATCCGAGAACAGCAGGCCTTTATTGAAAAAGATATCCTTGAAGTCTTTCCAACTGATACACTAGACTCCCCTTTTGCGGCAGTCAGTCAACTGTTATCATAAATCGGAGATTCAGCTGCTATTCAAAGCGTGTGCACACATTTGCATATCGGAAATGTGCTAGCTTCCAAGGAGTGAAGGAGTTCCATTGTAAGTGTTCACAGGTATCAATAAATGACTATGCTTTAATAAAATAACCTTCAGAATTATTTCGCCCTTATTTCATTCACTTTAAACTGGAGAGTTTCCTTATGGCTTCCATGATTGAAAAGGCAGCGAAAAGGCTGCACCTTTAGCAGTATATGTTCTGAGTTACCTGGGATTACCCACGAATTACTTGCACATTTCTCATCCTAAGTTAATCGATCTTTTAGTGACCCTTCAAATCCAGGCTCACTGTTTCACCGAAACGTAAGAGACCAGTTTCGTGATTCGTTGATGTATTCCCCGAAAACAGCGCCTTCTCTCACAGGCGTTGGAATGATGTGAATTCACAAAGACCAACATTCTCCGTTTGTTCTTTATAAGCCACGAAGATACCTGGAATTACACATGCCACGCTCACAATGCTGGGGATAGTCGGTTCTGGAATACAACTATCCGCGTGGTGGAACGTCCTCAAATGATTCCTGCGATTGGATTGCCAAGCACTGATGAAAGGGGCTTGCTGCGCTTTGGATGGCGTCACAATGCGACGAACTTGTCCTGTTCTTCTTTTGGAATGCCACACCCAACATGGTAATTTGGCTGCGTTTTTCCTTTAGAGTCGACATGGTGTATTCTTTGTAGTGGGACCATCAGTTTTCAAATATTTTCGCTTAGTTCTTCACTGGTAAAATCCATTGTTCATTATTTGGTGATAAAGTAGTCAAAGATAGGCGCCAAGATTTATACTGGCAAATATACTTAGAGTATATATAGTACCTCGTATCTCCTCTAGCAGTTGAAAAGTGCCGCAGAAACTCTATCCTCCAGGTTGCCCCACTCGATAACAAACAGATCCGTGTACGAACTACTGAGTTTGTTGAAACATAGTCCCATTCAACCTGCTTACTTGTTTGTAAAATCACCTAAGTTCCACAGTGCTTTCGAAGCAACCTCTCTTCCCATCGGGACTATGCTGAGAGGTAGTAGAGCTACAAAATAATCAAACAACAGTCATCCAGCCATAACATCCTTTCTGTGCCTAGCTATCACGCCTTCCGAGGGCTTGGACACTGCCAGGTTAACCAAGCCCAGGTAGGAGCAATCAAGATGCAGAGGTTGATTTTTAAGACCTACAGTCAGCAAGCTCCTGTCTTACATATGGAGCGATCTTGAGCAGAAATAGTTGGTCGCCAGAACTGGAAGCTACTGAGAACGGGGAACATGGAGGACATTATTACTTAAGCTTCTACTGTTTGCATTCACCAGCTATGCAAAAGGTGGACATGAACATGATAATATATAGTCCAGTCTACCCACAAGGGGAAACCGTGAAAATCGTGCACATGCTTCAACGTTAGGCACCGTGTACCTCGAACTTGTGATATTATGATCAACTTATTAGTTGATCTAAACAACGTTTGATAAACGAAAAAGAATTGTCAAGTTGGATTTACCTGATAGAAAACATTTTATTAGACCGTCTGACCTGATGCTGATGAAGACTGACCAGTCTTCCTATCGGTGTTTGATCGGAAATGATCGAAAATGCTTTGAGAGCGGTCAGCTCTAGGCGTAAAGAGTTTTCACAACAGACCAAAGGGTCACAAAATGCAATAATCAGCTGCTTGATGTGTTGCTTTGATGAATTGAGCAGACAAGTAATTATGGCAACCAGCTCTCCATTGTTTGACCTCCAGTCATCTTTGTGTTCATTGCTTCCAGAAAGCATCAAACAGCTCGCTGACTACAGGTATGTGAAAACATCGATCTGATGGTCGTGCAAAGCACATAGATGTCGCTTCCAAAACACGCGTAATAACAATGGGAACTTTACAGGATATGAGATTTCAATATAATCTCCAGCGTTTATCAGCCAGTAAGACGGGTAAGACTGGCCCAAGAAATAGTAGTAACAAAGAAATTGGATAAAAGTTGGACCCACAAATGTTCATCAAGATAACAACAGAAAAATGCATCTGAACAATGACCGTTTTTGAAACTCGACCATTTTTGCGGCCACTCACCACGTATTAGTCTTTCTCCTGTTTGCTGTCCGTTTGTTTGACCTGTATACAACAGTCTCCTTCTGATTGAGTTACATCCAAATAGTTATCCGTCACACTCCACAGACATGTTGCTAACCGATTCTAGCGCTCACAGCTTCTTTTCAAAACGATTAATCACTGTGCAGTGGCGTTCTGCTTACCACAGCTCTGCTTTTCGCCTCGAACTACAACACACACTGTTGATGAGCTGCATCACAAGTGAAGCAGCTGTAAGGAGTTCAGTCGAATTCTCAAAGGGGCAACAGAGGCATGCTGAAGCACCAGTAAACAACACAGTGCTCGCTAATCTGAAGAGACAATAAACATGAAATTAACAGCATGAAAATCAAATGTACGGCCTCAAGGTAGTGACAATGCTACTGTGGTATTTAAGTTGAACCGCAGCTTCATCAAACTTGCGTGTGACAACATCAATGCAGAATAGAGCAAGGCAAGCTGTAAATATCTTTAGTGACCGCTATCAACGTGCATCACTTTCTATGGGGCGAATGTTGGATTAAGCAGGTTTGTGGTAGACACAAAGACAACGAGCAGCAAACAACCATACAATACAGGTTATTGAATTTCAGGACCAAAAAATGCCACCGATAAATTTGAAAAAGTACGAAGTGATTAGGCTAACGTGTCGGTCATAAATCTCTTTTTTTCTGTAGGACGTGGTATCGAAGAGGAGAGCAAATTTTAAACGCCGTGAATTCCACATTTACCATTATTTCTTGGGATCATTGGAACTGGAGTCAGTCGTGGTTACAAGTCCGACCCTGTCGTCACACGGAACACTTCATCTACGATGAGTACGTCTGCAAGGCTACGAATATCCGCGGAACTAATGAGAGCGCAATACGCTTTGAAAGAGCTTCGGTACCTGGACAACCAACGGTAAGTCTGATTGATCGGGCTTTTGTATGTTGCGTGTGGCAGTCTACCTCACATGCCCCAGAATCAGGCCTAAATTGTGCATTCGGCAATGCGCCCAAATGTAGGTAGCTCGGGGGAGGGCGTCGTTGGCTGTTGATCATGTGGCGTTTGATCGGCTTATCGAGCTGACGACGTCTGCTCGAATGGTGACGAAACGTTTGCAAGTCAACTACTATACTTGGTGCACTGAACAAATGCCCAGTGATCAATAGCCAATAAATGATGCATCCACTTGAGACACGTCTGAAGTTTGCCATTACTGAGTTCTTATTGTACCAAGCTTACTCACAGTACTACCAACTTGCCACTGGTTACTCTGCTACCACACTGTTTGGAAGCGCGCTAATTGCCTGAGAAACTGGATCTTCTGATACATGACCGACCGCTTTTAAACATGAAACTAAGATGTTACTTCGGCTAACCGCGTCCGTTATGTACAGCTTAGTTGCCGACATTCAAACCATAAGAGTATTTTATCTCAAAGGAAAATGAATCATACTCCATCTTGACAAACGGAGATTTGAGGTGAAGAACCTTGAATTTTTGTAGTAATCTACTATGGACCGTTTGTCTTTCCGTTTTATCTAGTTTTACAAGCTTGGATTTGCTTAAAACAAACAAGCTTGGTTTTACGGCGCCAAAACATTGGTCCCTTGGAGATTTCCCCCAACATTTCGAGCAAAATGCGGGTGGTCAAAGCCGATATTGCTGCCAAAGGCGATGATACAAAAGTGGTTAATAATTTAGGGATTGAAAATTCAACATTTTTACATGTCCATCCTCGTCAACTTGAGGAACTGTCCAGGCAAACATTTCGCGCTTTCATGCACACCGGAAGTGAACTTGAGTCTAGTTATTCATGGATGTGTTCTAATAACCGAAGCGGCATTAGTAACTGCCTGACACAAGCTCCTCTTGAAATTCGACTACAATCACTCTATTCCTCGTATGTCCGATGTCATGCAAATAAAATCAGACAACATACAGAAGATTCTTGAGTAAATTTTCACACTGTATGTTATGTATTCATAGGATAATGTTCAGCAAGCGCCACGTGAATTCAGGTGGTGAGCTGCACATGGTGTGAAACGGATGATATACAACTGTCGAAGGGGTCCTTATTAGCGAGTCAATCGGGAAAGCCCGGGTTACTTATGTAAGCCATCCGCTATTCGACGACTTTATTTGGGTAAACGATAGGTTCGTTGTATTATGTTCCACCAATGAAGGCGGAAATCCGCCACGATGGGTAAATATGACAACCTCACGGCCGTGGAACTCAAGAGACGCATTAGGTAGTTTCGCGTACTGTAAACGACCCGTTGTTGCACCAACCATCCGGTAAGATCTCCCTTGAATAGGGCGGGTCGTGCGTACCCATTTCTTCAGGTCTTTTGCCTGTGACAGTGTAGCCTTGTCTGAAAAGTGTTGTTTCCAAAGGTGAACCGTAAGAAGCAGGTTGCGGTGCTCGTGAAACCCACGCTCTCGTGAAAATTGACTAATAAATCAAGTAGCGTACTGCGTGGAACGATCTAATATTTGCCTGTATTTTCAATGTGCCATTTTTTCGGCATCAGGACTAGGCATCAGTCGCTTACTTGTCAGGAACTTCATTCGTCAGTACTGGACACCTTTGAATGCAACACAATGCTTGTCTCATGAACCGGTTTCATTTCGCCATATTCCTTACACTACTGAAATATGTCAAGTAGGGAAATTTTTTCAGACGCATCTTAGCTCCGGACTGAAAGGCAGGGACTCAAAACTAGCTTGTAAACACAAATTACTTGCTAGAGGGGAAACGTCCAACGGACGTTAGCGTCTGTCCCATAAACCTGTTTGGTACAAGCCCCCTAATATACTGCGTTTCCGTCTCGTTCAAAAAGCTTCGTGGATACATCGTCACGCAATCAACTCTTGAATTATTCGTGGATGAGCCAAAAAATACTGGTGGATTACCCGTAACGGCGTACGAACTGCTCTACTCTGCTTTTGGAGGCCCAGGACGCTGGTACGGCCCGGTCCTATTTCCGCTGGATGCGTCGCTAGACAGCGGTTCGCCTCGATTTCGTCTCCATGGTCTTGTTGCTGGCACTGGCTATCAGCTGAAACTGTCTGCTCGGAGTATTGTGGGCAGCGGAACGCCTCTTGGATTCTTTGTTCAAACCTCCGAGAGCACCCAGCCTGGTCCAGTTGAAGTAAGGAACTTTGCATTATAATGTCTTATTCTGATTTGAATGTAGGTCGACTACTTTGAGGAATATACTCCCCTTGGATGCCTGTTTTATGATTGGATTGACGGTTAGAATACTACTATACTTAGGTACCTGAACTCTCAGCAATGATGCCGCTACTTTCAAGCAATGGGGTAAATTTTCACAGCCCCATAACATCCAATACATGCTTAAAAATTCTGTTGCGCTAAACAGTATTCCAAGATCACCTACTGACGCTTGTTTTGGTTCACTCTATCTTTATGTCTATTCTGATATCCGAAAGTGAATAAATGACAATGCCACTATTGTCTGTCCAATTTTTGACAAACCTCAGCTAGGCGATGAGAATGCCGCTTACTGATGTCACCTCATGCCTCACAGCCAGTTCTTCCAGCTTAAACTACAAATGGTGACAATGGATTGCTGCAATAACTTTAGAACTGCTATTCACTCACATTGCCCCTAATGGTTAAGAGGTGAAGTGTTCAGACACCACTGAAAGGTCACGGATCCCGATCTTGGAACTTCATGGGTGTGTACAACTGCTTAGTGTCGCTAAGCCTCTCAGCGAAGATTGACTTAATTTGCACTGTACAATGTCAATTGACTTTGCGGATACATCATTTTTCAAATAGCCTAGTACAGTTCAGTACATCATAGTATGATATAGCATGGTACACCATAGTACAATATACCCTAGCATGGTAGAGCACAGCTCAGTATCTTATATATCACCCAGTGAATACTATATATGTACTATACCACATTAAAGTATGGTGTAGTATAGCGTTGTATCATAGATTAAAATATGATATGTGTGACACTAGTACATTTCAACAGGAGGGATAACGTATGACGCGGCTGAGAAAACTCCCCCAGAGAAGCGGTTCCTGTCTAAGTGATTTCAAGTACTGATCATTTATATGGGGCGTGCTAACTTCAACCATAGACGTTTCGTTGGAGGACTAAGTAAAGCAAATACCGCTCCCACATACGACTGGTGACTTTGACCTTTTCGGTTTGAAAAGTGGCACTACTCGTATTTCGGTTACTGTCTTCCTGTTCTCCTTTATCTTGTCGTAGCAAAAAGACTAACCTTGAAGGGGCCTACAACCAGCTAGTATCTCCAGACCAGGTTCTCTATAAAACTTTTTAACAGCGGGAGATGAATTCTTATATCAGATCAGGTGGGACACTATGTATATATATATATATGTATATATTATATATATATATTATATAAAAATAAGCTACTGATGTCCTGAAAATCAAGAGCAACTAGGACATCAGTCAACTCTTATTAGCACCAGTGTTGTGGAAAAGAAACATCCAAAATAAAGATATCTCGCGGTCATTTTGGATAAAATATTCTTACATGAATGACATTTATCATTTATTTATTCAATTACAAGCCAGTTGTTTGAGCATTCATTGGATCAACTTGTGGCAACACGCTGTTACAGGCAACGGTATCACTTATTTACAAAGTTCCTTTTTGTATGAAGACGGCTTTGAGTACTGTCCGTTGATAGGTTTCATTCAGGTGGTATATTTCAGAATACACATTGTAACCTACGATACATATTCTGTATTCTTCATCAGCTCATTCAACGGACCTACGCTACGGATCCTTACAGTCATGTGATTCAATGGAAGACTCCCTTGAATGGTGGACTGCCACTCACTGGCTACCGGATTCGGCTCCGACCCGTTCGGCTCAACCAGAATTCAGCTCGAAGTGAACTAAACCCACATCGAACAGTCGTTGGTTCGGGACCATGGTGCGAAATTACCCCGGAGTTCAACAATCCATACTTGAATTACTATCACTTTACAAATCTCGATCCAGACCAACTATACCAGGTGAGCAAGGAAGGTTCAGATTTATAGACCTTTTATTGTAGAAATCACTAAATTGAGATCGTACACCTACTTTGTTTACTTTTTTCCGGGCGGTTGTTTTCAAAAATGTGCTTGTGCTAGGTAACCACCAATAAGCCCATTCATTTATTCACTTATTTATTCATTCCTTCGTTCATTCACTCACTCATTCATTCATCCACTCATACTATTTTTATAGGATGTTTGTCTAGCCGACCGGAGGTCGGAGACCACTGGATTCCCAAGCGTTTAGCGCTACAGACTTGACAACGGGGGTTTGCCCAGGCCGCACTCTGAAGTAAAAAATGGAACATCCGGTAACCTGATCGATTGTCTTCACCTTTGAACAACCGAGGACAAAACTGATGAACTGAGGAAGTTAACAACCTTAACTTATTCGCAGAAAATTGTCCCTGCAGTAACCACCAAAAATGTTGTGGGCTTACTATAATGCTTGTGCAACGAAATGCGGCGATGACACTAATTTTCATCCTGAAATGTGGACAACACTTATCAAGTTGTTTGAACCCGAGAGAACTTTAATGTAAAAGTAGACGTCAGCGGATGCCAACCAAGAGATTGTCAAGTTTTTTTTGTGCTGTTTTCATTCAAAAGTTGGTATGTTCTTCGAGTTTTTGGCTTGCCTATTTGCCTTTCGTGTCGTTAAGCTGGTTTATACAAGAGGATTATATTCACCTCGCACCGTCTTTTTATTCTTGTGAAAACGAATTTACAACTCGCTGTTCGGAATTTCTAAACCGTTTGACACACACAAGTCAGTCTGAGTTTCTCAGCAAAGGACGGAACTTGACACTTGCCAGACTTACAATTCGCTGTCCTTAATATCCGTTTGCCCACCTGGTACAAAGATTGGGCGGATAATTAGATAGGCGTTTTACTTACCCTATTGGCATACTTCGGTGGTGTGGCCTTGCTTAGAGTTTCGCTAAAACACTAAATTCCAGGACATAACACAGCACCAAACAACCCATCGCCCCCTGGATTATGCTATTTACTATATAAAGCTGAATGTGCGGGACTGAGCCAGGTGGATTCCACTGTCACATTTTGCAACAGCTATCTGTTGTAATGGCTCTTATGAACATTTATCAACTGACGTTTTTATTTACCTCATTTTTTGCAAGATCATTGTGGAGGCTGTTAATGAACGTGGGCGGTCTCTTGATGGAGTGAATACAGATGATTTCGGCTACCTCAACCGGACACCAAGCAAGCGTCCAGTTGTATACTCCTTTATAGACAGCATCGACCAGGCACCGTTTCCGCATGATCTGGTTCCGATTTGGTCCCTGTTCCGCACTCCTGTTGGTGATGAGCTCGGTCGACCACCCAGGGTCTTTGGTCGAGGTCCTGTGTTGTACATCGCACTTTTCATCCCTTCAGTCTGTTGTTTTTCTAGTCTCATCAATTACCTTATCTTTTTCTAGCCAATTGAATGTACTAATCACATCACAAAGCTCCAAATTATTTTTGTTATAATTTATAACTAAATTTTTAAACCATTTTTATCATAAAATTGTCATAGTGAACTGTTTTAATTTCTTAATTTGAAAAGTTTATTCTTTGGGTGAAAGGATTTCGGTTATCAAATCAAAGACCTAACTGACTGACATTCGAAAGTGTACCACGTGAATGGCTGGTTTGGCCAAGTGATGACTTTGAGAACCAGTCTCGTTGGAGGTATGAGTGGTGTATAATGACGGAAAAAGCACATTTACACAGACCCGAAAGCAGATAAAACATATGTTCCACCAATACACTTTGTGCTATCTTTGTGCAAAGGTTGGACAGCCAAGATACGACCATCAGGCTAACTTTTGCTGTATGATATGAGATTGATGGAATATTCAGATGATAGAAACGGAGACTCCCCTCCATGTGATTGCACTACCCTATCATCTTGCGTACTTCACAATCGTTATTTCCACGTAATCGTGCCATGTATGACCTACCGATGCTTCACACTCCTCTGGACGACTCGTCTGTAGGTTTCTGGAAATCTCGGTCGTCCGATTTTGACACACATTTCTGGAGTAGTTACTATCATTCTTCCGGAATTCTCACACAGCGTTATTTGTTGGCTTCGAGTAACCGTCCATTCATAGTCCATTCGTCCAGAAATAACTGGCTTCAATTAAGAGCACATTGTATGTTTATGCAGACAGTCATGATTGGCTGCACTTCATCGTTCAGTGGCATGCAGCTGTGGGGAAGAAGCGTCTCAGCAACATGTGGAAAGGCAGGGGAAGGACAAAGGGTCAATGTAAAGAATCTCAATATCCAGAATGAAGGATACCAAGAAGAGGCTGTTCATATTTTCTAAGGGAAACGTGCTACAAACAAGACCGACCCCTTTTTGGATACAGCGTGTAACTAGAGGTTTGGCTTCAAAGCAACAGCATCCTCGCCAGATATCTTGGTTTCATATAATTTTCATTTTGCATGCTATCTCATAGTGTATTCTCCGTGAACTCCACTGAAGACAGAGTTTTTTTATCAGGAATCAAGCCTTCATAGTCTGTCTTTGGGTGTCTGTTGCACAAGCTCCATTCGCTTAAACCCGATAGGGTTTATTTGCTACTCTAAATATCCTAATCTATCATCAAGTACCGGATGAAGCAACGTCTGGCTGAGAACCTGCTGCGAACAGCCAACTCCTGGTCTTTTTCAAATACCCCGGTGGTCAAATGTTTGGAAACAAAAAATATTTCTCATGTCTATTTAGACTTCCAAATTTCCTGTTTTGTGCCGGACAGGCAGCCAAACTAATTTGCAAGGTTTCGGCAACGTGACTTTGAAAACAGCCACAACTAAGCAGAAAACTGATTTTGAGGTTGTTTAGAGAGTATCCTTTAAATTGTTGCACGTTTTGGTTGCTGGTCAATAGTGATTGTAGATTGCATCGTTTGTAATTAATTGGGATCTGACACGAAAGGAGATTTTGACAGAAGAACAAGTGATGAATCAAAAAACACATCAACAGGCTTTATTTGTGGTGCCAAAGAAGCAGAGCAGTTTACTCCAACTAAAAAAACAATTCATGCCCAAAATAGGAGATATTCTGTCCTGGTTGCATATTTGCAGCAGAGGATAAAATCGCTGGAGTTTATCCTAACGATACATGACGCGTCAAAATAGTCTAGAATGCTTTTTCTCTTAGTGGCCACTCGTGGGCAGGATTATTTTCATTTGCTTCACATTATAGTCAGTTCATGTTTCAATCGGCTGAAACCAGCTAATTTTTTATTCGCGTAGTTGCATAATCGCCGTATCCAGGTATTAGTGATCTTCACAACATTGCGCAGAACATTAGGCTTAGTCCGTCAATTTGACTGTTAGTCCTCAGTTTAGACGATTAAGATATTTGTATTAGTTAGATTGTCATCAACTAGTCGATTACGAAATGCCGTGGTACGAGTGTGTCACCTCTCCTCTGTGGGTAGACTTTTTACCAGAAATCGAATTGTTCCGCTGGTTTACTGTACTGCAATTTTCGTCCCAATTCTCCTTAACTAAACGGTTGACTAACCTTGATCAAAGTGTAGACTAGTTCTCAGTGTCGCTTTTGCTACTAACTAACTCCCCATTGCATTTGCATGCCCTAAGGTTTGAGTCTTTTCTTGTTCATCCGGTGTACGTGACCAATCTAAATGACAGAAAAATGGACACTTGGGTTTTCAACTTCACATACGATGGTGGCCAGTGATCCGAATCAAAGAACTCTGTGCCTACCTATCTGTGCACTGTGAGCATGCGGAACAATCTGTCCACTGTAACCAGACACTAGCCGCTTCATGCATACTGTACTTCGGTGGTGGACAGGACTTGACCAGATTTTGCGATGCATGACTATCGTTGGCTGATTTGTGACGACCGGCAAACGAAACTTTGCACAGCTCTTCGGCCATGGAATCGACAATTGCTGTTTGAGCGAATGGGGTCCGTTTGGGTTAGGACGAACGCACCATGGTGTGAGAAAAACACACATGACAAGGTGTATCATTGCAACCAGAAGAAAAGCGAGTAACAGATTACTGTACGGTCAAAAGTTACGAGACTTTTCAGTAAATTCAGGGCAGCAGAAAGTGCAAGAGATGTTAAACCGCCAAGAAGATCAGGAACAGTTAGTTCAGCCAGTTTTTTGGGTACAAACCGTTTACCTAATTTCAGTGGTTCCCGCTGCCACAGCCTTTTTCGATTTTGCCAACAAGAATGAGGAAATACGAGCCACCCTTGGGAGGTAGTGGCCCCTTTAGTTTGTTGACAGTTGTTCGGTATGACAGGAAGTGAGGCAGCTAAGCTACTAAGTTGATGGCTCTGACACACGACGGTTTTTGAAATAGATACTCGGTTGTTGCTACGTTGCTTATTTATTGATAGTACTGGATAAGTTGTCCATAGTGGCGACCAGCATGTGAATGATCTTCTTGTGAGGATTTTAGGCCCAACCTTTTCTGGCAAGCTATTCTCCGTGAGAACGCAAAGTCACCGCTTCCATAGATATAGTGATGCCGGTCGCCTGGGGGAAACGCCTTAATTCATCTGGGATCCTCCATTAGAGCTCTTATTTTCTACCGGACCGCCTCGCAATATGGGGACTCGCTGTTCTTTATATGAGGGTTCTCCTTTGGTCTTTCTGGCGTGAGTAAAGCCCAGATAACGGATTTTTATACAGCTTATCCCGCACGATTATGTCAGTGCTTAAATACGCTCACCACGACAAGATGACAGCTTAACTCTAGTAAGGACGTCAGATCTCAGGATGATATGGTTTGTATCATTAGAAATTCAGGAAAAAGTATGAAGCTGTTGGAGCTGTCTGAGTTACTTATCTCATTGCACAGCTGACCTTCAGTAAAGCATGCCCGCATAAGTATAAAACTGTACAAGTCCAAGAACTCTGAACTGGGGACCCCACTATCGTCTTGAATTCCGATGATGCTTAAAGAAGGTGATGCTGCTGCGAATGCTCCGAAAGAAAAGTAAGACAGAATACTGCTTTACTGCACTGTCTAGCAGCGTTTTGATTCTTGTTCGTGGGATTTTTTTTAAAGAAACGATCTTTTCCTCATCAATTTGGTTTGTATCGTCCACGAAAATTATCATCTTATCTAAAGGTAGGTCCATTCCATAAAAAGGTCATTGTTTTACGATCAGCACCTGAAACACTTCGTGGAACTTGTAGTTGATCCACCTGCTATTTTTTAGCTTGCATAACGTCTCACTGATTAATTCAGCAAATTACTGGACATAAACAGAGTTCAGCATGTCACCACTTTGAGAACGGCAACTCCCGCTTAAGAGTAAGGCTTATTTATGAAACACAACCCTAAAGAATTTTGTGAGGAAACCTAATCAGGTTGTACATCGTTTTATATCTTGATGGAATGTGATTTACTGTTGCGCCCGGAGACGCACACGATTTAATATCCCAAGGGATGGTAGGTTCTTACATGAATATCAATCAGTGTTGAGTTAACTATGGGAAAACGTAGTATCTAAAGTAATGACCTCCATACGTCTGCTCACTTTGCGACAAAGGTTTATTCTTTGGAATAAACCCCGGAGTAAAAACACTCATAAAACCGTAACTTCATACGCAAAAACTGCTCAGATCCAAACTGGATCCTTATGAGATACGAAATTTTAGGAGGAATGAAGGCTGAAATACTTTAGAACGTCAGTCAAAATCGGATTTTTCTCAAGCGTTTATGGGAGAATTCGGTAAGTGTGCTATGCAGAAAAAATATTTGAAAGCTCATAACCATTTTCAGAACAAGTTTTTTCAGAAGGTTCTTTCCGGATACCTGCGGATTATGCGAAAGCCCAGAGTACTAACTATTCATCGTGGTATTTAATTATTGTACAAGACCCTAAGCCAGCACAATCCGTCTGATTTGATGCGGATAAGGGCCTCCTGGTCTCATTTCGCTAAGAATCGTCAAAACCGATAGTCATATTCTCTAAAATAATGAAGATATTTGAGCCGAATTCGGTCCATAAATTAAATCTACCAGATGCCCCATCAACCGGACACAAAAGATAATTTCTAATGACGCTCTTTCGTCTTATTATATATATTTCTTGAAAACGCTTATCAGGTATTGAGAAATTTCTTGAACATTTTAATTGATTTCACCCTCCCGCACAGCCGTGGTCAAAATACTAAACCTTACTCTGGGGGTCATACTTCTCTTATACCATTGTGGTTGCTCTCTTGCGGGTGAAATACATCCCTCTTGAAGTTTTGGTTGTTTCTTGGGATTCACTGGCAGGCCGACTATTTGAGGATAGTCAGGTAACTCTTCTACGGGCCTCATGATACAATACATTTGGTAAGTGCTAATGGCGACGTAAAAGTTGCAGATCATGAGAAAGCACGTTTCGCTTTGGTTGGCACTCAGTTGGTGGGTGATGTGGGACTCGGTGAATGAACCAAAACAAGGGAATTTCAATCAAGTCATGTATCACGTGGACACATATGGTCTGTTGCTCGTGCGTTTGAGAATGAGTGTAAACTCTGAACGCGTGTAACAAGTAACATTTTCTTTAGAAAAGCTTCGGATTTCGAAGTGAATTTTGCACGAAATCACATCACTAAAGTAATCTTTCAGTCCTCCACAAATGACCTACACTACCGGGCACAAGAGCGGATTTCTCCTCGCAGAGATTATGGTTGCTGTGTGTATGAATTCCAAAATTCAAAAGTCCAGATATGGTCAGCAGTGTTTCGAACTATATTGCACTAAGACGTAAGAACTAAGCAAGAGGCACATGAATGTAAAGTAAGGGAGTTCGCAAAAATCGGCATGTCGTGAATTACGAGCAACATGGAAAGATTCTGGATGCGAACACAAAAGTTACAAAGTGCGAAAAAACGTCTGTCTAGTACAGTATTATGCGACTTTCCACAGCACGACGACAAATCGGACAGGCGGTAACTTGATCACCGCACCATTGGCAGGTAGCATGACCGCACATGAAAACCAGATTTCGAGACCGGTCCAAGCAGATTGGACATCGAATCTAATAAAAAGCAATAGAAAGGTTGAAATTTGAAACCCAGAAAGTCAAGAAAATTGAGGAGTTCAACAACGGTAACGCGTTGTATTCCAAAGCCTTGGATTGAGATTTATCCTGTGAAATCAGACTAGAAAATTTCTATCCCAAATTTGGCACCTGAAAACGCGCAATCAAATCCGAATTTCAATGTTTTTGAACCGACGGTGCAAATGCTTCCCTTTCTAATTACAAAAAACATCAAGACCAAAACATTTATAGAGCAGCGTATTTTGTCCATACCACGAAATTTCCGACAGATTGCTTGAGCACATGATGTTGAAATTATTTTCTGGCTGCTGACGTATGCGTAGTCACGCAACTCTGATAATCCCCAATTTAAAACAGTAGCAACAGCTGCCGATACAACAAAGCAAAAGGCGGTGTGGAATCTCTTCTTCCCCTATACTAGAGCTACACAATACCAGCTGCATTTAAAGTGAATTAGTGCAATATAGTGTGGTCAGTTTAAGAGTGCACAGTTTTTGTGTTTTGACTAAGATCCAATCGAAAACTATAAATCAAAGCTCCAAATGAGGCTGATTGATGGGTTGATTAACACGAGCGATCTAGCACCACTCATTGTTGACTTTAATTCACCCAGTGCGGTGGTTTTAACTATAATCTTTAAATAACCAAAGCTCTTTGGCGAAAATACAACGGTCTTCAAGGATGACCATGCGGCTCCCTGACAGAAATCAGCACCTTCTTAAGATTGTTCTTAACTCTGACGAGCGAATTTGATCTCAGTAGTGGTGTTTTATAGTTTTTGATTAGATTTTGAGGCATTCTAGAAAGTTATTTCACTTCGAATCAGCTGCGATTCCCGTTCCACAAAAGTAGAAGAGACAAACTGAAACTGGCAGTGTGACTGGATAACTCTCGGATCAAGTGAGGAGGTCACCCGATCCATTCAACTTAGGAGATCTCTTGCTTACCGCTCACCGGCGTATGCGTGAACAAATAACTTGAGATATCCGGATTCTTAAACGATCAGGAAATCCGCTGATATACTGAGGGATTGATTGGTAAATCTGAAGCAGAATTAGTCAACTCTCTATTATTTTTATCTGTTTGCCCGAAACCCCTGGAACGCAGGGACTGTATGATTAGAATGAGGCACACCAACGATAGATGGCGAAGTATTTGTACTTACCTGTTCTCGCATCACCTGCAATTCATGCTTCAGTTTGCTGAGCTCGCGGTCACACAGTTGCACGAGTTGTGGATGTCGAGTTCTCATACTCGTGTGATGTATTCTGTTGTTGGGAGCAATAGGCTGAAACACGGAAGGAATTTCACACACAACGCTGTGGAGGAACCTTGACATGTTAGTGGGAAATCAACGGATCTGAATACCAAACGAAAATACTCGACGGATAATATTTGTTGGAACGTCTAAACTACGAGGAGTATCAGGTGGTACACTATTTCGGCAGGACGTCTGCGAAGAACAAAACATTCCGTGGAACATTCAAACGTGATCCCTCGTGATCAGGTGGCAAGACTGTAGTTCCAGAGTACCTACTTACTAAAGAAGTTCGGTACTCCACGCACAAACGTATAGTTTCGACTTTACGCCCTCAAGAAAGATGCAAAAGATCTCGGTCAAACTTCTGCGAAATTCTCGATGAAATTAATCCAAGGCAATCAATACACCAATGGTGATACAAAGAATTTTCGGGACAAATTTTGGAAACTAAAGAGGAAGAGACTGAATAAAAAAATATTTCAGTTTCGCAAACTACGATGTCCCGCAAGGGGATATTTATGCACACGAGCATGTGTGGCAATCAATCTTGTTCCGTATTGGTAGATGGACAGGACAACATCACTTGCTTTAAATTTCATAATTTAAGTTACATCACCCCAGCATGTTGTCTCGTTCACGGTTGAAAAAAGAAAATCCGACTTGTTTGCCATCTTCACTCTGCTTCTACACTGTCTTAACCTTGAAGACTACAAGTAGCAAGCATCACATGCCGTCCTGGTGAAAATGTATAGTGTAACTTTCTCACTCCAGACGGCGGCAGAAACTGGCCGGTCGTTTCCTTCAGCCGATAGGTGGGCTTTTAAGGTATCATTAAATCCTGGGCGTTGTTTGATCTGTAACCTGGGCAAGGAACTAGGACTGTGGTGTGTGAGTAGTTCATATGTAAGACCATCGCTGTTATTGAGTGCCTTCTTTCAAACTGAATGAATCTGGTACAGCTGCGCTAGGCCATTTGTAAACTGACAGTTTTTTATTGTTACAGGTGGAAAACAACTTCATTGAAATTTCAATAGAGAATTCCTCTAGTAAGTGAAGCCGACGTGTACTAAAAAGCTAGGAAGTACCGTACAGTTGCCTCGTTCTTGTTTGGAATCAGCAGTGTGTACCTCATGAAAATCCTTGGGTTGCTCCGATCCCTAGGTCTTGCAGTTATTAGTTGAAGACTGTAACGTTAGGACATACTCGGCTGATCAACAGCGTAAGTAAATTATGCGGGGACAGGATTTGTATATTTTGGAAACCGTGCATCTATTACGTCTTTAAAGTAAGTGTGTCTTTCTCATGTTTTGTTTCAACATTCATAGTGTCTTACACCCGAGTGGTTGAAACTCACGAGAAAAAAACAGTATTTCGCTGCTTGAATACACCTAGATTGGTGAGTAGCCGACCAATAAAGTCCATTCCTGCATAACTCAAGGGTCCTGCGTTCAGAGAGTCCCCTAAAAGTTTTCAGAAAGAAGGATAACTGTGTCCTCATATTACATTGTCTTCCGCGTCCGTTTTTGAAGTCACCAGCTGCAGTGCATTTTAGAAGGCAATAGCAATGTGATTAACAGGCGACCCTTAACCAAATGATAGGAATTGAGAGAGTGAATAATGATTGGAGCTATATCCTGTTTAGGCTAGAGTTAATCACACTTGTGGTAGTTCAGATGGACGGTGTTGGATACAACCATGAATTACCATGAAAATGAGAGTTGCAAAGAAATTATCAATTGTAACGCCCAAGTGGAGAACACCCAACCACATCCACCGAGCCAACATATGCACGTGACAGTATGCTTGGCTCGTATTGAATGAGTCACCCAAAAGATGCTAGGTTTGGCCCGCCAAATACATCCTGCCGACGCAACTCTTACATTTACTGATTTCACCTCCGACCTTGTTCCTCGTAGTTTTTCCTAGTAATAAAAGCCCTCTTCAGACTATGAACACATTCGCACCCTTCCTTCCTCCACTAATTGCCGGAGGCGTCATTGTTATGTGGCAATTAGGCACTGGATTTCAATGAAATACCAAGTGAACCGTCCGGTATTTTGTAGAATGCATGTGCTACTGCTCGAACAATGTACAGTAGTATAGTCGATCTGTGGTCCAGTGACACTAAGACTGAGGTTTAGCCGGCTTACACACATTAAGGGGTTTGGCTCTGGTTACACCACAATGGAAGCTGTGTATCCTTTATGCAAACAGTTCGTCTTCGTAGGCTAATCCGCCAGTAGTGAAAGTGGCTCAAACCCGGTTGCATCACAGTAATAAAGATTATGCTGATTTGTGACGAACCAGAAAATTAGAAACAGCCAGAATCACAAAGTAAGATGTCTTACGCAGGACAAATCGGATCACTCTTGTGTCGTTAGATACGCCTTTATCATGACTGGCATGTTGGAAACAGTCTAAAAATTAATGCCATGTGTATGAGAATGCTTAAAAATGCGGAGCCGTCAATGTCTCAGGTAAAATCACGTGGTTTCACGCTAGTGGTGAACGTGCCAGAGTAAAATGGACATCATTGAGGTGGTATAAAACTGGTTAATGGATATAAACGAGCGAATTTCCGAGAAACAACTGGTGTTATGCTTGAAATGTTTTAGTGAAAAGCGCTACGCGTACTGCATACTGACCTGTCGTGGTTCGGTCTGGGTTAAATCAAGTGTACGACAGCCTCTTGGACTCAGATTAAGTGGTACCGTGCCTGAAAAAAACGGAAGGAAGTTGATACCTGAACAGAAGACGTTTTCAGATAGAGAGCAAACAGATGCCACACCCTGCTTGAAACCTCCTACGGTTCCATTACATTTATGACATCGATCGGTTTAACTTAGCACTGCCTGGCAACGAGCTGATCCGGGCCATTGTACAAATCATATACATAGAAATATGAAAAACATTAGGATAAAACGTTGAAATATTCCAAGAGAGACATGCATGAACTGATATGGTGGCGTTAATCAAGCCTCCGTTTTATAGCTACCGACTTGGATCGTTTACGCTTCGGTACTTTCTTCTTCTGAGAGGGTGAAGCCCGTACAACAGATCAGATGTCATTTGATTAGCCAACAAAATGTTCGTTCGCAGCTGAGTGTTTCAAGGTTTTCAGTTTGTCCTATGAGTCTGTCATTTGCCTGGCAAGTGCAACATTTTCACCTTAGGCCACAGGTTTCGTAGTTACCGGATGATCGTTTCAAACTTGAGCAAATCAAGTGCCAAGGGGCTCCTCTGCCAAATGCTGTGGTCTATTGTGAACCTCAGCCGGGAAACTTGTTGACCAAATTACATATTTGTATGTGTGGAACAAATGATATTGTCGAGGAGATGCGATCGACCCATCCGGATAACATGAATAAAGTAAGTGAATGATTCTTATCAACCGAGTTCAGAATACTGCAACCGATCAACCGAACTCAAGAGTAGAAGAAAAGGAATCAGTTTGCACTAGCTGGTAGATGGATGGACGTGTAGAATGAGAAAGTACACTTCATAGGGACATAGGTTTTCATGTTTTTGGCTGAGTGGTTCCTCCGTTTGGGTGGCTGGTCAGCAAACACAGTAGACAACTCCGAACTATTCAGGACGCATATAAGACGAGCGGAAACTATTGGTTATCAAAAACTGCACTGCATTCAAGAATAGCTCAAATTTAGAGGTGAAACATATTTTCTGCAAGGTAAGGTCTGTGTGAAAATAGTGGATAAGAGTTTTTTAGATTTCGCCTCCATTAAAGTTACACTACTTCCCACAAGTATAGGTGTCAACTTAACAGTTATTCATCATGTTCCCAGTTTTTACCTCACAGGCACATAGTTTCTCTTCACACTGGAATGTTTAAATGGTCGTTTTGTTACACTTAGTCGCTGACTTTTTCTCGGATGTTTCCAATCTATTCACTCGAATGTCCATGTCAATGAATAAATTCTGCCCGTGTTGTATAATGCTGAGCGGAGAATCCTAACCGTTTCACGTGTTTTGACTTGTGAGTATCTCGTGTCCGTTTGCGTGGCTGCGCCTGAAACGTTGCTCAGTCCTTACTGCAAGCTGTACAATCTTGGGATGCGCGTAGCCGGAACGAAGGTTGGATGCACACTCGGTGTAATCAGGTGTTTTCTCAACCTGGGCGAGTTCCCCGATTGGGCCGAAAACAGAATGGAACGCGTATCGCCACATTAGTGCAAACAGGATGCCTAAACGCCTGCTCGGAACGACGCACAAGACACAAAAATAATGAAGAAACATTCGTGACGACTCAAAACATTAGATAAACCAGATAAACCATGGGTTACTCCAGTAGCTGTCTTCGCACATAAAGCTAGTATTCCTTCTGAACCATGAAAAACCCGTCGTCTAAGAACCGTTGTGGTATTGCTTATAAACATTTTTCCTTGAGGTTTGCGTCGTATCATATTACCGCTTGTAATGAAGTGATATAGTTCACAACTTTGAGTTGATCTCAGAAGCGTACAATCAGGTGAACATAGGTTCACTCACTTTGCTTGTTTCACATATTAAGAACGACAGCTTCCCTTATGAAATATTTGGTGCAACAATTTACCAATGGGCATAAGCAGATGGTAATTTGAGGCGAAGAGAAGAACCGGGATGTGACAATAGACAGAATGTACGTGTAAGAATTACTATATGAAATAAAATGGATTCATACGCCATCTATGACTAACGATCCAAAGGTTAATTTTTTTAAATTTAGGCACGTGGAATTAGCCGTATTTACCTGAAATGCTCGTTTCTAAGATTCCGCACCCAGTTTCTTTGCGTTTATTATTGAATACGTAAAAAACATCAATTGACAGCTTTCAACAGGACTTATTTGTTATTCAAATGAGTAGCGGTTTCATGAGAAAACGAGAATCAGCTGTACTAACCCTTCTATGTTTCAAAAACAGCCACTTGGGAATTGTTTTACTAGAACCGGTGTATCCTGTGAACTCCAGATTAGTATAGTGTAATGATGATTGTTGTTCTGCCATGTGGGACTTACGTGAACTTAATGGGTTTTGGGCAAAATCAGGTGTAACGTCAGCGGAGAAAACCAGTGGATTTGTTACCGGTGTGCTCACTGCATTCGTCCGTTGGACTGAGTCGAGAATTGGAGCCAAAGCTGGACTCGGGCTCGGAGCACTATCTGCGTTACGTAACAGTGCACCTGTTGACTGGATGTCCACACCAGCACACGAAACTACAATGGGCCACAAAGTTTCAACTGGCTGACTGCACACCGGACAACCATCGATACACAAGCCGCCAGCCAGAAGGTCATCTATCAAGCTGTTCACTGTAGTAACCATCGAGAATAAGCGTCCGAGAGAAATGGCTTGCCATTCGTTGGTCACCTGGTTATTGGTTGCGTCATCTCGTTCATCAACTCCGTGGTCTGCCAGAAGTAAGGTATCTGGGTTTTCTGCCGTAGAACCAAACTCACTCAGCCCTTCCAAATGTCCGGATGCAACGTCCAGCTGCTCAACTTTAGCTTTGATACAGTCTTTGCACCATAGCATGTGATTGCATGGTTTCGCCAGTACTACCCCCTTGAACTGGTGGCACTCGCAGCAGTTGGAAAACTATGGATAGAAATATGGAACAAGAGTCTAACGGATGGGAAAGTTTATACATTTCGAGGGGGGATAGTAGATGGAACCATTATGCGCCGATAACTAATGGTCCCATAGGACTCTGCCCTTCTGGCCACAGATATTAACATACATCGTCAGTTAAAGTGACGCTCCTCACCAATCAGCAAAAAGAAGAACGAAAGGGGATCAAGATAGTTGCATTTATAGAAAACGTGGATCGTTATTGCATAGCAGTTTACTCTTAGACCAGGCTAGTTGTCCTGAGGACTTCCGAATGGTGAAGGGCGGGTACCCATCGAAACTAGCACCAATAAACTGCCTTAAAATGTCATTATTCAAAACTCTCAGAGCTTGGAATTCAAATATAAACACATCATAACTTGGAACGCAAAGTCAACTTAAGAAACTTCGTGAAAATACAAAGTTGTAAGGGTGTACCCGAGTAAGATAGTAATTTACATCTTGGGATTAGTGACAGTCTCAGGTATGGTAACAAACAGCAGGTCACACAAACGGAAGACGTCATATCGGGTTAGTCGAAGTTCTATATTATCTCTAGTAATCCCATGAACCAATACCTGGGTTAATCACGTGATTTGATAGAACCCTAATGCACGGGTGTGAGAAATCTGAAGGAAATCGAGCAGTTCCCTGAACAGCATATTTGTCCTGCCTTTTGAACCAATATTAGAGAACTACTCCTCTCAAAAATTTTACCAAATTCCGGTCAGTTGTTTATCACTTGAAACTCTGAACATTTCTGGGTGCCCATACATGTCGCATGTAGGCTCGTTTCAAAACATGCCCTTGGTTGGGCTTCATTTCTGGTCATTAGCGAGACACTGATGAGTTACTATGAATCTGTAAAGTCTACTCATACAAGACAAACCAGGATGAGTTTGAACAAAGAAAAGTACTCATGATTTGACAAAGATATTATAATACTCTTTGTATATTACCAAAAGAGCAGCCTTCTATTTCCTCCTTTTTCAACCACTGGCTTGCATTCACGGTTTAAAACCGAGCGAAATTTGTGTGCATGTATGCATTTGTGTGTCATCTGTGATTGCGTGTCAGGACTAAATCACGAAAGATTTCATGTTAACGGAAAAAGAATGTTTCGAATAGTGTTGAAATTAGTTTCGTTGCCGGAGCTGGCTCTAAAGATTCTATCTATCCCTGTGAATGAAGATAATCGTGCCATTGTTCGTAGAATAAAGGAATAACTTTAAATCACCAGACGTTCATCAGTAAAATGAGGTGTCTCCAAACTCTTCATCTTGTTGGTAATTCCATGTTAGTCTGTTCCAATTCTGATATATATCGCTCGAGCCAGACTTCGCCTAGGTGACGATCCTTGAGAGACTACTTTTAATGATCAAAGTGGTGGAACTTTCCCAGCATTATTACTATAAATGACATACTCACAGCACCAGTACTCCCTTATATCTTCTAAACTTAGTTCTGACAAAAGTTTCTTTACCAACTTCAAGGGACCAAAATCGAGATTGGTAATGATAGGCTTTTTATATGCAGTCATCCCGTTATCCGACTACATATCTAAGGAGTCTCTTTGTGCTAAAGGCAGAGATAGGGTGTTTGACTGAAAGCTCCATAACTGTTCTATCATAATTACGCCACTAGCTTAATGCTCTTGTGCAGGTGGTTTGCTGGGGCGTGTGACAACATCCGTCGGTAACGAATGATTGTAATACGCATTGTTTCATCCGCTTCTCAACAGCGTCTGAAAAGTTGCTCAATACCAAAGGATTCAAAGTTGTATGAAACAACTACTCATCTTCATTTACGCCGCGCATGAATCCCACTAGAGTAACACGTTCATATTACTCACAAGTATCGAGTAGCACATCGAGAGAGAGGAAGAAGAAAGTTTCAAGCTGCTGAGCCAACTAATGGATGGAACGTGAAATTCAGCATCCAGGGTTGAAGACCATCATGAGCAGTGAACTTACCTAAGACCAAAATGAGCCTTTGTTGCCACCACCAAGTTCACTTTTCAGTGTTCAAGTAGGAAATGAAGTTGTTGGAAACTCGGGGATAAGTCCCCAAAAGGTTGCTAGACAGTCTTCACAAAATGTACAAGTAGTATGCTCCTCATTTCTGTTGAAGGTGATCACGATTGTGCACGCTCAAACGAGAAGAATATATGCATCTAGAAAAACCCACAGCCAACAGCCTCAGTGATTTTGAACGATTTCGAAAAGCCGTTGGTGGAGCATATTGGTCTACAAAGTCTTGTAATTTTCAACTTTTTGCGAAGCGCACACGTCCTACTCTAGAAAACGGTATGTTCCTGTTTGGTTGGGATCATGACATAAAATATTAAACCCAGTAAAACTGACAATTCTCAAAAGTATCTAGATGGTACCCGAAAATTTCCGACAAAATTCTAGATTATAGGGTTAGTCTACATCCGTCGTCCAGACAATCCCCAGGCACTCAAATGATATGCTAACCTGGAGAACATGGCGTCATTTCGTGATTCTGCGTAGAATGTGTTTTTTATTTACAAGGACGTTTGCGTTGATTAGATGGAACTTGAAATGCTCGCTTGATTACTTATGAGTAGCAGTCAGTCATTCTTCACACCCCTTAAGGGCAGTTCCAGCGAACCTGAGAAGTGGTCTTAGTAAGCAAGTGAGAATGATAAGTAAGAATGTCAAGCGGTTCACTGTGCGTAAAGATTAGGCTAAAATCCAGGAGTCACCTCACACCAAGAAGCCGAGAAGCGCTGCACATCTATTTCAGCTTATTAGGAATTATCAGCAGTGCACATCTCATCGAACTCCCCTAACTAACCTCAAACCAAAGGTAACTAATAAAGGAGAATGCATTATAAGTCGTCTGCACCTTCTATATGGAAACTGGTGACTCGAGAGAAGGGCAGTCATCTGTAATTGAAAGATGGGTGACGCTCTTTCCCGTCAAGGTACGAATTAACCGAACTGCTGGGCAGCCACTCTCGACTACATGAATAATGTCTGATTGTATCTCATTGTCCAGATTTTGTATTTTCCCGAATGTCAGAAGAGTCGACGATGACATTCAAAAGTGAATCCATATTTACTGCGGTTGTCCACCATTGTATCATAATGATTTTAAGCCTACTGGCGGTTGTATCCTTGCAGCTAACTGACTGCTATTTACCAAGCCTAGATAGATATTCACTGGTTCGACCACTGTTGAATAGTAACTCTATTTTGAACACCAACAACTCGTCTAAGCATGATAAGCAGAAAAAGTCAAGCGGAACCGAGTCCGCATAAAGGAAAGTCAAAAAATGCCCCTTGTATCCAACAACTGGATAGCTTGTAGGCAATAGTGTTGAAAGACGTAGTACTATGGAAGCCTTGGTAGACAGGCAGTGGTTTGAGTTAAGTATGCATCTTCCAATAATCTTGGCGGAAACCATGTCTTTCAGGCTAATTCAACTTAGGTGGATATGCCCCAGGCGTGAAAGTTCTGTCGGTCGAAAGCGTTATATGATACTACAGTCTAAAATGACACCTTTGATCTCTTTATTGATGAAGCCCTCTGTGAACGGTTAAAGATAAGGACAGTTTGATAGCAATTGTGTGAGGGTTCTTCGAATCAGAACTCCGTGCTGTTATCAGTTGTATTCAATCTCTGACATACCAATCTCCTATTTGTTTGCCATTCTGTGAGTCCGCGATTATGCGGTTTTATTGACTAAAGCGAACCAACGCTATTCCGGGGTCCAACAAAGCTGGATCGAATGTTGAAGGTGCCGTCGAAGAATTACTGTGCAAAATCGAAACCTAAACTCCAAATTCTATCATACATTCCAAAACGAATTGGCGCTTACTTTTCTGTCCGTACTGAGTTTTTCTCTATGCGACATTACTCACTATGACCGTATTGCCATGCGGCGTTGTTTTCCAACATTCACCACTGAACGTGGCACTAAAATTTATATCGCGTAGTCAGGGTTGAACTACTGTGGCATTATAAAACAGTACATCCCTTCTTAAAAGATACGCCAATCATATAAAAGCACATAGCAACAAGAAGTCAGAAAATTACAAATAACTCATTTCCCGTACTCGTCTCTTCTTGAAACGATGTTCCAATTGTCCGGGTAAAACATAGTGGCCTAAACTCGACATGTTATCATAATATGAAACAAATTCAACTATTTTTGCTTCAAGAATCTTTTCACCCCGTATTCTATGCCGACTATTTAGGGCGGTTTTTAAAAGAACCAATTGTCAAGGCACTGTTCAGAATCTGACACGAAATGTCAGACTTTATCTGGCATGTAAGTTTATGTATGTGCGTCATTCTGCTCGAACGCTTAGGCAAGCGGAAGAGATAAGCTTGTGCAAATAAGCGGTCCCAAGTTGATCAGAACAAAACTAGCAGTTCGTCACGCTTGATATTCTCGACAAAATTACTGAGGTGGGGATTATTGCTGTAGTTACGTGTGTGTGTGTGTGTGTGTGTGTGTGTGTGTGTGAATTCTGGCAAGCATACAATGTGGTGGGTAGCAATAGATGAGCATGCATCAACACCTCGCCTGTCGACAGCTCTGACATTCGCATACTTGTCTGAATGCAAAATGTACCATTTTCCGGACTGCGTTTAGTTAGCAACGAAACATCGCTAAGCTGATCAAAGAACAAAATAAATACTTATTTATCGTTAACCATGTGGTAAATTTATTGTCTACTTAATCACTTAACCATACAACTGTCCTGGGTTTTAGCGTGAATAAACTGTCTGCAAATCAGTCTCTTGTAATCCGTCGAACAGCTGAGTTGGTAGATAACAGTGAAGAGGATACTGAACGTCGGGTTTAACAAGGTAGTATGCTATTTCGAAAGCAAGGTCACTAACTAAACTAGCCTAACTACACTAATTGGTAATGGACCTAGTCTTGTGCTTCGTCAGTTAAATTCAGTGACCGACAAGTACAACCCTGGTGCTCAAATGTCACGAATTCTTTTCTATCGTATTCCAGTTTTTAACCACTTAGGAGGGATTTCGGTCAAAAGACGGCACTATACCACTTCAGCACAGGACGAATTGTGTACAGCGATGATAATTGTCATATCTCGAGTCGATGTTGTCATGACGGGGTAAAGTTACTCAAATTACTAGCAACTCAAACCCCTCCAATTCGGGTGATGAACAGGATAAGTAAAGATGAAGTGCTTTGAACGTGCAAATCAAGCAGAAGCAGATTCTTGAGGTTCACTCACACAGTGAAACGTATTCGGTTTACGCTCGGAGTGCGCGTACTCGTGCTTGTTGGCTCTGTGTGGCGTACGGTAGTAGTGGAAAGTTTTCATTCCAAATAAAACGCGGTCCGTCCTGCCTATTCGTATGATGAGGTCAAATAAGGACAAAAACCTCAGTGGATCGATTTGTCCCAGATTTAGCTACATACTGCACTTATGATAGTCATTTCTATAACCACATACTGTAGATTTTCTGGAGATTCCCAGACCTGCAGCATCATGAAAAAGTTAGGACTGATAGTATTGATTGATGATACTGTGAGGAGAACTGGACATTTTATCCTGCAAGTGTTGGAAATCTATCCTGAAAAGCGAAGAAACACTGTAGACCCATTTCATTCTTATTGGGAACCATAAGCAGTGTATATTTTACGAAACTTTGGAAACTTTTAGACTCGGTATCTCCCGGCTGGTAGTCTAAACGGGTGTATGTTCAACAATGGGACTGAATCGCATTTGCTTGTTCATTGCCCGACAGTGTGCATTGTTCCTAACAATTTGATCGCGCAAGCTAAGTCAGGAAACTACTACGTTAGATCTGAACGTTTTTCCACGACGGAAAGATAAGGCTATTATACTAGAAATAATTCTGATAGGATACTCTTTACCATATGCAAAAAAATATCTGATTACTGCTTAGAAAGGAAAATTCATGAACCGTGGAAGAATAACGAGCCTGAAATGCAATAGAGAAATTTTATCAGATTACCTGATGAGATCCGCTTACGCGCTGTCGGCATAACAAACACTTGCGCATCAGAGGTGTGCAGTTCTCACACGTGATAATGTGACCACATGGTGAGATCACAGTGGACCGATCGCGTTCCGAACATACTAAACATTCCCGCCACTCCACATCCAATTCTGTGAGTTTTGGAGGCAAAAGTCGAAGGGATTGAGGTGGGTTTTTCAAAAAGCGCGGTTGGTTGTTTAGTTGTGGTCCCAGTTGGTTTGCAATTGTGACAGGCTGAATTCGATTGTCCTCGGACTGCGTGACTACACCCGGATGGAGCATGAATTCATCTGCTGCTGATGTGGACACTGCGCTTGGCAACAAACTGACTGCTGAATGAGGTGCATGGTCAGCTTGGAAAAAGGTGTCAACGAGGTTCTCCTCTTCACTGTCATTCAAATCAGCCAGTAAATCTCGCGTTCGTCTCTGGCTTCGTGAGTTGTCCTGTTCCGTCACATTGGCTGCCTGTGAGCGGATTTGCGAAACAGAGTTCATGGCTTCCATATGACACTGTTGCAGAGCAAGTTGGAGCACGGGGTCCAGACATTCGGTGAAAATGTCGGTCACGAAGTTGTCCGTTATCATTTGGATGTTTCTTACCTCATCATCGTCATCATTCGAACAGTTGGGCGTCCATGATTCCGCACCAATGGCCGAGGCAAGGCATGCTGCGATCAACACAAGCCTTGGCACACCAGTCTCCAATGTCGCTTGTACGGTGGACTTCAGCCGACGGCATAACGGGCTTTGAGTTGTGAGTCTAACTGGACTTTGTTGTATATCTCGGGCTTCTCCGACCTCATCAACGCTCTCTCCTTCTCCTGTATCCTCAATGGAAATAAGTTGCGCTTCTTCTATATAGTCCGTACGCGACGAATTGGCGCGCAGAGGCGATGAATTGCGGATAGATGTGTTCACTGGAGCACTGGATGTGAGAGCCAATGAGTCCGCCATGCAAATAAGAAGTCGGGCAACCGAGGCCAAGAACGGAACCAGAGCTACGTCAAAACGACGTGGAGTCTGACCAGCATGCTGAAAATACAGTAAAAGTAAGAAGTTAGACGTACAGCGTGACAGTACGTGATAGCTTTATATGTTTACAAGTATATACGACGGTTAGCTATATCCGAGTTCATGGCTTGTCCCTGGTAGTCCCTATTCCAGGGTCTATATCCATCCGTTTATCTACCACTACTCAGATGACTGCTTGCACAAGTCACACCTGTTAAACTCAGGTTTCACACTTAACTCACACATTATGTGCTTTATGGATCATGGCCCCGAGTGCCCAAAATGCCCAAATGTTTTCTATTGCATGAAAAAAGTCATGCCAGCATATTCAGCCTCATTCCTGTTGTGAGTTAGTCACAGTGGCCTTCTGGATTCCTACGCAGGCTAATTAATTACTGTCATGGATGATGATGGCTCATAACACTGAGACGCTCTAATCGATTCGGCCGAAGGACAATTAAACAAGCAATGGTGCACACAATTAGAAACAAATTTTTCAACTGCCGTGATATCTTAGTACATCGAAAGTGTGTTTGGTAACGCCATTGTGCTGCTCGACAAAGCTGCATTTGGCCTAGTAAGATGTGAAGTGAAATTGGTTAAACGGTCACATGCAATTTTGTGTCCAAAGGAATTTGCTTCCCAAGGTCACTCCATCATGTTTACGGCCAACTAACCGGCTTATTGGTTATTTTATTTTAATCTGCAATCCTTCCTCGATTCGCCACAAGCATATTTTCTTCCCTTTTCTGTATGGCGATATCGAAGCAATTGAATAGTTAATTACCCTGAAACATATAGAGTTCGTCAGACAGGTAAGTTACACACACACTCCAACGCCGGTATTATATCACTGAGGTGCGTCATCCACGTTGGTCCCTTGAACGCCTAACCTTACGCTTGTTGGCTATTTTCTTAGCCCATGATTTCGTAATTGTCAGCCCCCACTCCCTGCGAGCATCGATGATTAGGCTGAATCCGAATATGGATGAGTGATTAGAATGGTTGGCTAAACCGGAACCTGATTCAAACAAAGCACGTTGTTCACATGTAAGCAATACTCCACATGTTCGGTGAATGTCAACAATTTCCCGTATAGACGTAAAATTGCGGAAAACCTTTCGACAGCAACCTTATGAGTAGTATATTTCGTCTATACAGTGTATCGCGATATTTCGACTTGCTTACCGACTAAAAAACGAGGCAGCCTGGTGCAGCACATTCAGTTGCTTAAAAACACCATAACCGAGAGATTCAGCTGGAATGCAGATGAGTCTCCCATCAAAACCAACTTGGTACGAGTGTACTTCGTTAACAATATCCTCTTCGCAATTAGTTTTTACGTTTGAATCAAGACAATTGAGGCTTTGTGTACCTAGTTGATTCATGCCATTTTGTGGTAAAAAGTACATTTTCTCGACAGTTCTAAAAATATTCACCAAAGATATTCACTTATTCCTCCTTAAAAAGTACTCCGTTCATTAGTAGACAGACGACTGTAGGATTAACTGAAGCCCCAGTGATAAGGAGACAACAGGTTAAAAATTACAGCATCGGCTATTAGCCATGAAAAATCCCGGGTAAGTTCGGGACAAATACAGGGATAATTCAGGCAGCTCAGACCAATGTACCCACAACAGATGAACTGCCCAGAATGCATCGAAATTAGATAGCCATTGACTGCTGAGACCACAAATAAAGTTGACAACCTGAGATCGACTGCACTCGTATCAGGAAGCCGTAGAAAATTTTGCGATCTCTTTTCGTGAATTATTATTCACACGCGCTGAAGAATAATATTCTCAAGCAAGGGTTTTCAACAACTGGAGAATGGACCAGAAAACCTGCCAAGTGAGCTCTCCCATTTACGAAAAGATCGGCACAACTTTTCAGTTTTTAACTGACAACCTAAAACTTACATTCGCATGCCACTTTAGAACGTATCTGCAACGGGTGTCCAGTTGGCTGTTGTTCTGTTATTTGAGTTGGAGTATTTGATGAGGAGGGCCTCGCTACCATTCGAGGCCCTACACGAATCCCAGTTAAAATACGGTGTAACAGCATTCTACTACACGCTGATAACTTCATAGCGAGTGGCAAAACCAAACTGTACAGCACAACTTAAAGGACAATACAAACTGAGCTACCAACATTCTCTTCTGCGGGGAGATTCGGGGTGGCAAGCAGACCGGTCTTGGCTGCCGTCATAAAACCTATTGGTACTCACATTCTCGGAACAGGGATCATGGGTCTTCGTCAGATTGTATTTCAGGCCAGCTAAGCTAAGCTGTATCCATACTCATGTTCTATACTTGGTCATCTTCTGGCTGTAATCCTGTGAGGTCCATCGTTTTTTATTTGCATGACAAAGTGCAAATGTCCTTCTATCATATGCGCAGCCTGCTTACCAGTGTTAACAGTCGATTCAACGACCTTAGCAAAACTTCCACAAGTGAATACAACCAAGAATCACACCATACTACGTCCCTGAGAATCTGATCTGCGCGTTTAAAAGAATTGGTCACATTGGAAAGTCATTGAATGAATGAATTTCTGGGATTTACATAACTGGGATTTACACAACTCTACTTTCAATACGATTCGTTCTCGGAGATCTATTGTGAAACTGATCCCAATAATCACTCTTCTAATTCGACCATGATTGATTTTACAGCTGGATGCCAAGAAACCAGTACACTTGGGGGCATATATTATTTATACCCACTATCATCAACAAAGTTGTCCAATCTTTGGTGCACGTGGGAATACCGGGTATGGAGGTACACCCAGACTACAGTTGTTGCAATAGCCGACGCGTGTCAGAAATAGATTCATCAGACCGAACGAATCGACCCATCAGACAGATGGACAAATGAGCGAATTCTACTGGCGAGTTACGCACACTAGTGAACGCGCCGTGTTTGGCACATAGAGAAGTGCATAGGTTCGGCACGCACTGAGTGCACAGCAGATTTAAACAACATTATGGCCACATCAGCCTGCACATGCACACATTGGATGAAAACACATGTTAGCCCATGGGCATATCCACAGACATGGATACAAACCTGGATGTTATCTTGTGTTTGCGCGAGCGTAGTCAGTGCCAGCTGCATCGGGCTTCTTCCCTCCCCCGCTCGAGCACCACCACCGGCAACGGCAGCTCGGGCTCCGTAGCACAGCAACAAGCAGACAACATCTGGATGTGCCTTGTGCACGGCCAAATGAAGCGGAGTAAAGGCAGGCACGTACGCACCGTCAGTCGAACGCACTGATGTAGGCGGGGGTTGTAGACCAGACGGTCGATAAACGGTAGCGTTCGGATTGGCACCGGATTGAAGGAGCAGATCGGAAACTTCCAGATGGCCGTGAAGTGAGGCCAAATGTAGCGCGGTCAGACCGTCTGCTTGAGGTTCGTCCACGAGCCAAGGTGTTTGTTGTAGACACTGTTGAAGAATGATTCTCACAATACTGTGGATAGAAGTTAAGGTAAAAGATTACCAGTGGATAATTTCTATGTAATTATTTAACCATTAAAACCAAGTTGTAGTATTTGTTCATCCACACTGTTCTCGAAGGCATTGCTAGTTATTCCCTAAACATCAGTGGTTAAAATTTCTATCAAAAAACTTATCCTTCAAGATATTAACGACAACGGCAACTCAGAAACTTTGCCGAAGAGGAAACAGTTCCAGTACTTTAGGCTTTAAGTTGGTTAATAAAGATGACCACCGATGGTCTCTCTGTAGCCAACTGGTTGCGCACAACTAACCTGGCATTCACAGCATACGTTCGCTCCGAGTACACCACTGTTGGGCTGTGTATTTAACACAGTTCAGGTGCGCATCCCCTCAGCCAGCAGAACGGGTTGAATTTGTGATCAAGACAAATCTGCTTTCAAACCCTGGAGTACACATCTTGCGGGACCCAGTAGGCAAAAAATCTATCCATTACTTCGTTAGTCTAGAGCGGTAAAGAAAAGATTATTGAATATGCTTACCAAACAGATCAACATGTTGATCAAAAGAAAAGGCAGGCTCGTGTACAACTGAAGCCGTATGTAAAACAGGCTTCCAATTTTTGACGAAACAAGTAGGTAACCGTAGGCTTCGCTTGACTGAAAATTTGTTTTCAGCCACCTTTCTATTTACAGTTTTCGTTAGGGCAGCCAACTGAAAATACGAGCGTTACAAAGTGGGATGAGTAGCACCAACTCATCGGATTCTATCAATAGACGCTTAATTATAGATTCAAGTCACGACCATGTTGACTGCATTAATTCACTGTCAACGGAGAAAAGTAACTTCTCCAGCAGACAATCAAAATGTGGATGCCCAATCACGGTACTCGGCAGTACACCTTTGGTGGACGACTGCCTCATACGGGGGATTATGCTAATTATCACTCAGCCTGCTGTCTCGGATAAAGCATGGGAACATGCAGATAAATAGGCACTATCTAACTGAAGAAATCCCATTAAAAATCTATCTATCTTTGCCTATCCGTAAGTAGGCTAAATCACCGTTCATTTCCTTTCAGGTGATGGGGATATTTCCTGGTTGGAGTGACGTTACCATGTGGAATTTCATTTGTGAACTCGTGTACAATTGGTTTGGAGATCAATGTAGTATATCGTATCTGCAAGAAGCGACCGTCTATGAAATACCTTGAGACAGTTGTTTTACATTAAATGGAGTATTCCATCTTGCCAGAAGAAAACAAGTAAGGGGTTTGAAAGCAAACTATTTTGCTTGTCGGTGTTTTTGTTAGTTGAATTCTCTTGGTAATCGAGAAGGCTCATAACAGTAATCCTCAAACAGAAACAAATAAAATGAACTGGTAGTGAGAGGGTCACATGTGTGACCTTCTTGTGCCCCACCCACTCAAAACAAGCTGGAAGGACATGATCTTCAGCTTACGGTGAAACCAATTCACACCACTTCTTGATTCAGTAACTGGACATTAGATTGATGGTTGCTCGATGCAACTGTATGTCCCCAATGAATGAAATCGCATCTGTGTAGCTTGAAAATGCATGACACTCTGTACGTACAGGTTGTCGGTCGTTATTTAGGAAACACATATAAATGATAGCACAACTGAGGCTTAGTTCCGGGGAAGAACGTGACTCCTCTAATGGGATGTTCATCCCCGAAAACACAAGAGTTCTGATCCACCAAACGAAAGCAGTTAAGATCTTGCATTAACAAAGAATGTGGCCGACTAATGAGGACAAATTGATTGAGTAGTTGTGGTTGAATTTCATGATTCTATCTTGGCCATAACGTAAATTCTGCATGGTCTCGCAGTATTTTAACTGCTGATTAGCAAGGACTTAAAGTATTTGATCGGTGTTTACCCGCAACATCACCCGAAAAAACCAATTTTTCAAAGCTGGACAAAAGCAGTCGAAACGCCGCAGTTGCGAATGAAATATTGAAACAGCATGAGCGATGATTCCTGTACATACCATGAAGAAGTGCTGTGATCGCGAATCGGGTTGAAAGTGATGGACAATGGAACAGAAAAAACGTACAGAACAAAAGGGATTGTGCTACTTGAGAGGACAAGAACAGCGTTAAACCAAGAATTAACTGAAAATATCCTCACTGGGTAGTTTGTTGGCTAGTAGTAGTAGTTGGCTCATGGTCACGTGTCCAGTCTAATGTCATGTATAATAAGAGTTCCGTATGGTTATATTGGCGTTAATGGTACTTTCCGTCGCTAACCCTTTCTTCAGAGCCTGCCAGCCAGTGTTCAGCTAGAAGGTCAGAGCATGATGAGTTCCAACTCAATGATTCAAGTCTCACTAGTAAACAGGCCGTTTTAAACGCGTGCTTCGTGTGTGTTCGGTTGATGAAACCATATAAAATCGAAAGATTGCGATATATGTATTCTGAACATTTCATTCACCTAATCGCCCTTGTGATGCAATTTCCTCTGAGAACATCGTGAAAGGAGTGTAATTTGGGATATACTTTACCACCGTCACAGTTTGAAAATGAATGTCGGCAGGCAATAGTTCACCATTGCTCCTTAACTGAACCGTTAGACCTGATCATTACCTGTTCGAAACCAATTTGAAAACTGCATCAATATGATAGAACTTCTGAAACCGCATCGTGCAACTTCAACCGCTGTCGTTCCCCAACCAACATCTATACTCGTGAGTAAAGACATTTAAGTCGAATATCCAATTGTTTTATGCAACAAGCTCACTACGCACTATCTACCTAGTGTGTGCTGGTTTTTCGCTCTTCACCTTCAGTGTAAAATTGGACCAGCAAAAGCGATGCGCAGATGCATTGACGCACACTATGAACACATCTGCACTAATCAGTTTTTCAGGCACAAGTATGAAGCGAGAAAAGTGCATTTGTGCAGCACAAGAAACAACCCTGGGTTTCGACTGTAATTACGTTTCACAGACGGAAAAGTATTCGGGACCATGGCTGTTTGCGTATATGGGCACAACTAATTGCTTAAAGTCTGCTGGGATGGCGGGGTATGAAGCCGCGCCTGTTGTCAATCGTACGCGAACCACAACCCCGAGGCAGTCTTGTCGACAACAGCATGTGGCATTAAGGTTTTTTGTCGAAAGCACAGTATGCTTGGAAAAGATGGAACGAGATCGTGTGCATGATGATTCGTCCGTATTTGCTCGCCTTTCATGCAGTTCGACTGCCCGCTGTGCACAAAAATGAAGTGTGCATTTGCGTGGGTGCACGCTCCCACTCCGACGGATGCCATACGTTTTTCCTGTCGTGCCGGAAACAGCAATGGCAGTAGCAGCCACCGCAGCCAACAGGGAATGTGGTCTGTTTGTGCCTTCCTGCATGCCCAGTTGTCAGATTGCGTTTATTGTGTGTGTGTGTATGTGCTTATGTGTTCTTGTGAGGGCGCGATGCGCCTCAGGTCACATCTTCGCCGGGCAAGCGAAACGTCTTTTTGTACAACGTACCACAGCAATTTGCAGACAACTGCAGGGCAAAAATGACCACCAAACAGCCCCAGGACTGGTAACAGCAACAGCAGTAAAACGACAACTGTTATCCGGATGCTCGCCGATGGTGCCAATAAAATCAATAGTCCATGTGTGAAGCAGATGTTCATTGGTGGGGGAAACGGTAAGGAGCGTAGAAGGTAAATGAAAACAACGGGGAAGGCAATCCAGACTAAGAAGAAAGGCAGTAAAAAAGGGAATTTTCATTGTTTAAATGCACCATGCAAGCGTTTGGTGGTGATGTTTCTTGAGACACAAGCTCGAATCCAATAAACGATAGCATTCCGTCAACTATGTGACATTTGATTGTATCCAAGCTGAGATGGTGGTAGCGAAATCCGGTCTTCTCGGACTGATCTCGATAGCTTTTTCGATAGATGACAACCATTTGTTCATTAGGATAGTTTGTCTTGTTTTGAAAAATAACAAGAACATGCGTTCGAGCACTTCGATATGACAGCAACAGCTAATCTTCAGCAGTGATCGTTAACCATTAACATCATCTTGTGACTAAAGGATTGGCGTTGATATGACATTTCTGAGCGAGAGCTAATCACAATGCTGACAGCCACTCACCGGTCTTCTCGGACTGATCTCGATAGCTTTTTCGATAGATGACAACCATTTGTTCATTAGGATAGTTTGTCTTGTTTTGAAAAATAACAAGAACATGCGTTCGAGCACTTCGATATGACAGCAACAGCTAATCTTCAGCAGTGATCGTTAACCATTAACATCATCTTGTGACTAAAGGATTGGCGTTGATATGACTTTTCTGAGCGAGAGCTAATCACAATGCTGATCAGCCACTCAGGGCCAAACGGTCAAGTGTTCAGCGACTGGCCCGAAGGTGGTAGTCAGTTTCCTAAGAAATGTACTCTTGATGATCTCAAATAAGTGTGAAAGAGCTGTACAGCGCTTCTCGGCTTATCAGCATTGACAGGCTTTCTTGGCAAGACTAAACATCAAGTAAAAATAATTGTTTAATCGCAGGAGACAACCCAGCCGATCACTTGATTGTCCCACGTACACCAAGCAGAACCAGTATTTTTGACTACTGGAAAAACCTAAACGTGCAAGGAGGTAGTGTGAACTGCGCGGAAAGCTAAAAGCGCGAACATGGCAACCACAAAAATTTTCACACTGATTTTCGTCAAGCGAACTATCGTACTGACGGCGAAGGCATAGGCAAATCCTACTGTCACAACGGTATGGGGAAGTTAGACAGCAGTGTGTGATTGAGGTTGATTAAAAATGGAATTTGCATATCGTTTTGTCTGCTTTGATACGCGCACTCAGTGGGTAGAGGGACCGAAAAATTGTACTTCGCTTTGCCCAAAACAGATCGATACCATCTACCGGGACGAATACTTGTCAGGATAGGTTTTGTTTTTCTGGTACCGATTTGCAAAATGAATGTCAAACCGATATATAAACCCATAACAATCGCTGGAATGATTTTAAAACATTACCGTTATTCATAGATAACCACCTTAGCGCAGGCAAGTAGTGTCCCGAATCCCGTATTTTGGAAAGTGTCACCCCTCATTCTCTTGACGTTATTTCGCTTATAAAAAATTAAAGCGCTTCCAAAAATGAATTTGGCATGATTTCTGGAATCTCTTAAATCAATTTCATCGATGTGCTTCCAACGTTCATTGATTTTTTGGTTTGTTTGGTATGAGAGATGACAAAACTAACCGATACTTGGGAGGATTTGACTTGCTACAGTTTCCGCAACACGTGCAGTCAAACTATACAGGCCAAAACACTCCGTAATCAAAATTAGCATGACGCTCTTGCACCCTCCGTTTCAGGGAACTTCCTTTGTAAAAAATATTCGGTTCTTTTGAATACATGTAAATCTAAGGCAGACGACAATGCAACCCAGGTCGTTTGCTTCAGTCGCAACAACTACTGATCGTGATCAACCCCGTTCTAGCTGTGTTATCTTCGATGCCACTGACTGCGGCGTTATACGAAGCGTAGTCTTCACCAACCGCGGTCCGTTGTTGCGACATTAGATGACTCACAGGCACGGGGACTTGCTAGACAGGATCAGGTGCAAACGATCGTCCGGCCATTCGAGATGAGTCCAGACCTCGGCCATTCTACTATCAACATTAGGATGTGATCGTTTCCTAGAAGCTCACTTCGTGGAAAACCATACAAAGGTCAAAAATGGATAGTTTTTTTGTTTTTTATATCTTCGAAATGTTCATGAAGTTTCAGTGAAATAGTGCGCCAAAAATGAGTACAACTACGGATAACTCGTGTTAAATGTAACAGCAATTCACTTTAGAACGCAGTTTAAGACATTTCACATAGTCACTGGAATACCCACATCTAATTAAATTGGTCCTCAAATAAACTACTGACTTTGAAGACTTAGTAAAATAAGATGTACTGTCGAAAAGTCCATTTAAACCCTATATGAACGACCAGAAAGCCCAATCTCAAGTTAAAGTTAATTTGGAGGTCCGTATGCGGATAGTAAACTTTACGAGTAACATCATCATAGTCCCCAGGATTACTAAGGTGAAATTAAATTTTACCAAAAACGTCAAAAACCCTTCATACTTTTCAAACAGGTAGTTAATCTACATGGCTGAATCATATCTTCAAATTTTTCGAGCTCGCACTTTGTAAGAATACAGAACCGTTTACAGAACAGTTTATTTTCGTAAATTGCTGTCAGCTGTTCGACAAAACCACTGAAATAATCGTTCGCTCCCCGTCCTAGCGACACAATAATGGTCTCATCCCGAGTGGTGATGAAAGTTCCGTAATTCATCTACAGTTTAATAAAAAACCAGGTAACCGTAGGTGCTATGTGGGCTACCTAAATTCTGTTCAGTATGTGTAATTTATTGTTGTCGTAAGTTGGGTCGATGTACAAGAAAGAATTACAGCAAGCAAACTGGGTTGTTCAACCACCGAATCACCTGTTCCATTCACAGTGATACGAACCATTTGTTAATACACAGTGCTAGCGCATTCCAGGTCAGACTAGGAGCCTGTGTGTTGATGAAGCCCTGTCTGACTGTGCATTCCACTAGGATTTTGAATGGAAAATCAAATCTTCTATCCATAAAGTCCGCTTACAATTCACTCAGTGTGGTCCACACTGGGAGGAACCTCCGAGCTGCTGTTAACAAAATTTCCACCAATGAAATGGTGTGATTAAGCGATACCATAGACTCAGATCTGTTTGGCAATATCTCAGGCTTTACGGACCCAATGAGTTGACGGATGCTATGGACCGATACGTTTGCAATTGACCAGTCAACTACTGTCGAATGGAGAAAGGTTAGCTATGTTTTGACCACATCTATACGAAGCATCCGTTTGTTGAAATCTGGTTCACTATAATACACTTAAATAAATAATCACCCAGTTTAACATCAATTCGTTGCTTGGCTGCTACACCACTCGAAAAGAGCAAGAGTTACTGCCAGGTTTCCCACGCCTCGACAAGATTAGTCAGGGCACCGCGGTTGAGTTGCATCATTTTTGCCACACAGCTGTTGCGCCAAATTCCACAATGTCCATTTTGTTCAGTTCCACTAAACAATGGTTTCTAATCAAATTTGGACGGCCTGTGAGCGCCAGGAAATGTATTCGACAGCGGGACGCTTACCATTCGAGTTCAGTGAGTTAAAGGGTCCAGGACAAAAATAAACTTCCTCGATCTGCTATTACGTCGATGCAACGTTCGATTGTGGAACAGAGCACCAACAACTGACCAAGAAGAGCAACCTTAGGTGGAAGTATTCACAGATCAAATTTTTCGACAATGAACTTAGGATGAATTGGAGAATGCGACGAAGCTAGCGCCAATCTTTTCGCAGTGGGTATGTTATTTGGTTTCTGATCATCAATACGGGCAGAGTTTGGGTCAACAATGCAAGTTAAATCGTCGTCGGCCGCATAAACTAGCATCCTTCGGGACTAAACAAGACATAATTCCGACGCATGAGGTTTTGTGGCATGAGATTCATTTGTCAATAACAAGTCATAATGCACATACTTTTGAGTTTGGAGAAATGGAGTTTGCTCAGGCACAAGGATACAGAAGAAAACACCGGATTCACTGTGAGTGCTGGTTTTATGACCACTGTGCCAGAAGAATTCGACTTAAACGCATGGTGCTTTTTGAAACTCTTTATCTGAAACTTCATATTCACAAATCTTTCTCCCTTACCCTATAGTTTATAGGCACCTGATTTGAACGGTTGCTGATTTCCAATGCACATAAGTGTTGCGGTACAACTGTATGCTTAACAGCTACGGTAATTATTAATTAATTTGTGTTCAAGTAGAACATAAGGTTGACGAAAACTCGGGGACTGCGCCTACTCGATGAGCCCCAAGAAGGGCGAAGCCGGTCGTGGGCTGTCGAAGAGTTTTCAGCAACCTTGTGAGTAGTCACCTTTATGAAAATACCACCTAATTAGTGGTGAGAGAAACATTCCAGCCATGTGGACATATATTGCGTCAGTCATGCAAGTAGCGTGGACAATATGATTAGAGGCATCTGACGATCTACATTTGGATCATGCGGGAGTTAAAGTGACATAGAAGCATGCTGAATGCAAACAACCTACAGAGCAAAACTCGATATTATCTGACTGGCTGTGTGTTTTCTCATCAGAGAGGTATGGTTGAGTGATTTTAGGTGAGAACCTGGAGCCATGTAAATAGTGCGTTAAACCAACACTACACTCAGTTCAATAGCAGGAATATCATTCCAACTGAAACATGGAGTTGCCTTTGTGTAGCACACTCCTATTAACTATATAGTAAATGAGAGATTCAGTTGCGTCTATCCAGGAAGGGCAAAACTGGTGGTACACTGTAGAATATTGTATCAAGTAAAAATTAGGTGACTTTTGTGTGGAAGAATTCACAAGTGGGAAGACTAGTTAGTTCGGGGTACACAATGTTGGCGTTAAGATGGGAACGTTCGCAGCTGTTTGGTGACTGTGTCAATTGACCGCGTTAGCCTGAATGACGTGCTTATCACACGATTAGGAAAACCCTAATTCAGCTGATATTCTAAATCCAATGTTGTGAGGTGCACGTGCGACACTGTGAAAGTGACGATGGTCGAAGGCGAGTAGTCTTTCAACCTAAGACC